CTTATTGCAGCGCGTGGTGGCTGCACCAAATACTGATTTCGGACGCTTAATTTGTTTCTTTTGTTTTGAAAATTTCATCATTTATTTGTATCAGTACAAGTCGTTTCTGCATTAAATTTCATTTGATTCTGATGATTCTTTCATGGTGTTGCATTTTCTACAAACAGCAGTTTAATTACAAAATTTCTTTTTTCTAAGATATCTCAACGAAAAAATAATTTTCAATAATTATTATTATTTTATTTAAACAAATCATTTTGAATTATAAAGCGTATAAATTTCGCGTCATTTTAAATATATAATTTTATAAGGCAAAATACAAAATTAGAATGAAATCGGACATATAGCTCTTGAGAAATCAAATCTTAAAGAATTCGTATATTTAAGATTGTAGTCACGGTACTCTTTTTTAAATGAAATTCTCGAAAAATTCCCCACAGGCATTCAGCGAAACCTTTGATTAAAATATTTAAGTCCTTCTTATTAAAATTTGATTTATGTTAATTAAGATTAAATTTGTATTAATTTTAAAATTATATGGAAATTACATTTGAAATAATTCCTTGAACTTACACAACTATTAGATACACAACTATTAATTTCAGTCTTACTCGTTTTAAGTAATTATTTTAACATGAATTTGTAAAAAGTATAAAAAGCAAAATAAAATGTTAAAAAATTAAACAAGAAAAGCAGACCTTATCTGATGAAACTCATTTCTTTACAGTGTTAATGAAGCATCATTAAAACTAAAATACACCTCTACGTTATTATTGAACTTGCGTAACTTAATAACATGATTACAACAAAATATAGAGCGATTTTCTTGCATGAATTGTTTGCATTTAACCTTCCATTTCTTCTCAATTTATATCTCATTTTGTTTTAGAATTTCGTTATCAATGCGCGAAAATTATTTTCATTCTGAAATTAGTAATCGTGTACATAGCGTGAAATAAAATACGAACCACCATGAATAACTTTTGATCCAATGATCAGACCTTCACGTTCTAGAACTCAATATTAGTTATTCGAGGATGTGACCTCAAATATGCTAATTAATGAGTGCAGACGATATTTTAAGCTACAAAATTAGACATACATTTCTCTGAATAAACATACCGATTTTTCGACGGATTCGGATTTCCGTCCCCCAAAATATAGGAGGTAGCTGCAATCTTCAAAAGCATGATCCCATAGTTTTGTTTTTCCAACTATGGGGATCAAAAATTTGTATTTTACCATATCAAATTTGATTTTTTTAAAATAATGTAAAAAAATTTATACCTTACAATTCAATTTTGTTTCGACTATTTTTATATAAAATAATAAAATAATAATAAATTTTTACTAAAAGTTATTTTTTGAAATTCGCTGAAAAAGTTCTCGGGTTATGGCGAAATACGCAAAAGTAAAATTGACAAGGAATCCAAACTTTGGACTGCTCTTCTGACAAAACTATGAAGACCATATTTTCAGGATTGTGGCTGCCCCCTACGTTTTGGGGATCAGAAATTTGAATCCGTTGAAAAAACGGTACATTTACACAGAGAAAGTACATTTTTGTGTCTGATTTCAAAACTTAAATTATCGTCTGTACTAATTAATTAGCATATTATAAGTCATCCCCTCGAACCATTAAGATCGAGTCTTAAAACATGAAAATCTGATCACTTGATCATTATTCAGGGTGGAATATTTCTTATATTGCGCACTGTACATTAAAACACTCCTGCTTGGGACTGCTCACTCTCTCGATATTTCAGTTTTCCGTTCTTTGCTGACAGGGTAAAAAAGAAAAAAAAGAATTTATAATAATGAGTCTTTTTAATAAAGTAAATTTCAAACGAATTTCTAATTGTAAAAGTAATTAAAAAAGTCTTAAGATGTCCGCACTATCGGTAGCGATTTAGATACTTTGAAATCATCGTGTTTTGGATTAAACAAGTTTTATAGCTTAAATTTCTGTAAAACTTTCTAAGTATGTATAGGCATACTGTGATTACACTTTTAATTAGGAAATCCCTTTTAATTAGGAAATTAGTTTCAAATGAATAATGATATGAAAAAGATTATTTAAAAAAAAAGTCACAAAATGCCAACCCTAATGTTAGCGATAACTTATCGCGTTTTGGACTAAACAAGCTTTATTATTAAATTTCCTAAAGAAAAAATTCTTGGCATATAAATGGTATTTCCCAAAAACTGATTCTTACTGTCTAATATGAGACAAATTTTAAGTGAATTTTAACTAGCAAAAAATAACTAAAAAAGTCTCAAATCGTCCACACTAATAACTGCAATAGAGGGACTTTCAACTTATCCTGTTTTAGAATAAACAAGTTTTATTTCTTAATTTTCTAGGTGAATATGGGGGTTTACTTAATTATTTACATTTGCTTTTTTTATTGTGAAATAAATTTCAAATGAGCTTCGCATTATGAAAAATTGTAAAAGAAAAAAAATTTAAAAGAACATTTGAAAGAAAAAATTCCGCAAAATGCCATTCCTAATGTTAGCGATACGACTAGTTTTATATACGACAATGTAGATACGATGATACGACAATGTAGCGACAAGTTTTATTATTAAATTTTTCAACCGTAATTTCTTCACAAAAATGGACATTACTATGTACCATTTATGTAATGGCCATTTAGCTTTAATGGGAAAACCAAAAAATTCGGGAATTTTTAATGATTTTGCTATATGATAAGTTTAAAAACATTTCGTATTGCAAATAATTATTTAAAAAAAATCTGCAAAGTAACTAGCCTTAAGTTAACCTTATAAGCACGTTGAACCTAATGTGTTTTGGACTAGCTGAGCTTATATTTTTAAATATTCTACAAAACTTTATTTGCTAAAAATTATGTTTTCCGACTAATTGACACTAACTTTTATGAATGTTTTAAGTTTCAAATGAATTTGGCTTTGCAAAATATTATTAAAAAAATTTGCACAATGTCCACTTAATTTCTTCTAACTGCTCAAAATTTTAAGCAACTGAGAAATGTAAGAAAAAAAAGTTTCGGAAACGGTCTTTGAATAAGCTTTGTAATATAAATGTTAATTATGTACATAACTAAGTAATTAAAAGTCATAAGATAAAGTAAAAATTTTTATAATTATAAACATGCTATCAAGTTATTATAATACACTGGGAAAAAAAGTATGGTCAAAATTACCAGTGTTTCTTCTCCGTGTCTCTGACTTAATGGGAAAGCCAAAAAATTCGAAAATTTTTACCAAAGTGCAATGATTTTGCTAAAATTAACAATGAAATATGTTTTCATATTATGTGATAAGATTAGATATGTTTATCATGAGACCTTACAAAATAGCTTAAAAACTACTTATTTAGTTAAATTCTTTTATTCAGTTTTGTATTTTTTACTAAATGTGTAGGAACAAGAATCATAATTTTGAAAACCAGAATTTCCTGTAAACCGTTACCACATAAACGGAAAATTATTAAATAAATGGTTTAAATACCGTATATTTTGTTATTAACTAGAAATATGATTTTTTTTTTTACCAGAAAGGTTATTACCATGTAGTCCGAAGGTTTTACCAGAATTTTTTTCTCCGTGTGCTAAACACGTTATTAAAGAATTTTTAAAGCTTTTAAAAATAAAAATCATATTTCTTTGAATTATTTGAATACAATCTATTATTAGCATTTTTGTTTGCTTCAGGATCTTCACAAAAATTTGTGAAGTTTTCTTTAGTTTCTTTCTGTTATTCCGCTGTTCGATTTCCTTGTTATTGGGGGTGTGTATGAAAAACCTTGATTTGCTACGGTTCACCTAAACCTCTATAAATAGCCATATTTCAAAAAAAAAAAAAAAGATAATACTGCAAATTAGAAAGTTAAAGTAAACAATAGTAAACTGGCATTTTGATGTCTAATTACATATGGTATTGAGTGATGAAACAGGAAAAAGCATCTTGCAAAATCAAAAAGCTTTCTTTCTGAATGAAAACGTAAATACACAGGATTTGACTTTAGTTTTACTGGCAATAAATATGACATATAAAATATATTATTCTGTTTGATACCATGCCACAATATAAAACTCATCAACGAATAAATGTTTAAACGTGAAAAATATATGGTTAGTCAAACCACCTGCAATGTTTAAAAACCCATATGTCTCCTACAAAGCCGTGATAGCTCAGGGGTTACAACATTCGCCTCCCAATGAGATGACCGGGTTCGAATTCCATCGTTCTACCGACCACAGAGCTGATGTAAAATCTCAGTGGTTGGCGCTTCATTGGTTAGAGTCCCTTTGCTGTCTGGCTAATCAAGGGAAGTTTTCATGGTTCCAAAACTCGCAAATGTGGATGCAACCGTGGTTACTTCCACCAAAAAATCCTTCAAAAAGACAAATTTCACCCAAAATTCGATCCAGAAATTTTTTTTCATTGAGTTACAAGTCTTCGGAGCTGAATATTGTTAGTCGTAAACTCAAAAATTGGGTCAGCTTTTCAACAATGGTTATAAAATAAAATAAAATATGCCTCTTACTTATGAGTTAGCTTTAAATTTTTTAAACATTAAAAACAATTAATATAAAGTAATATTTCTTTAAAATTAACTTATATCGAAAAGAAAAGGAAAAAGGTAATGTGAGGCAAAAATATTTCGCAAGAATAAAATGAGCATTTGGCATGAGAGTTGAACTTGTCAAAAAACAAATGATATAAGTAGAAAAAAACGAAAAACAATTGCTTGCGCACTCACATGAAACTTTTTTTCATTCTTCCTCTTATTTATTAGATTTTGATGGCGCAATTCCAGTTAATACATAATTTTAAAAAATTCAAATCACACCTCTTTTTACGAATACAATTCAATTCAATTTTTTCTTCTCACTTAAACAGAAATTCGTTGTTATAAAAACATGATTTGTTTTAAATTTATGATCCAAACATGGTAATGATTTACGTAAGTTTTAAAAAACAAAGCACCTAAGATTTTGAGTGAAAAATCATGCGCACTTATGTAAATGTTTACTGAAATAGTTCGATTGATAAAAATCACAGGAAACTAAATTCTTTCTTTCAGTTTAATCCGTTGCAAACCTTATTGAAACATTTTAAGGGTGCTACTTTGTTTTTAGTACATATATAGTGAGGAATATATTGATTTAAACCACAACTAGAAGTTTAAATATCTTATATTTTACGATAGTAAATTGTAGAAAATGCAGATTCATTTGGTAAGAAAACTGTTTTTCCTTAATTACTTTTATCGCTATTAGTTACTTTTCAGTTACTTTAAAAATTACATAATGTAAAAATACTTAATTTTCAACTGCATTAACATTCTTACGAATTTTGTTAATGGTGCTTTATTTTTAAAATGGAATAAAATTAAACTTTGAATTAAAAATGGTTAGAATTTAATTTTTTTATAAAAATTTACTCACTCATAACGTCTTATTTCATAGTTTGTATTTAACTTACGATATTTTTCCTATGAATTTTTTCATGTTTATATATTTTATTAACTATGAATTTGTCTTGATTAACGTAAAAGAAAATTTTTAATTCTTTCGTTTTCATTTTTTTACGAAATACACTCTATAACAAAAAAATCGACGCACCAAGAAGGAGTTGTCCGATTGAAACGAAAATTGGTGGATAGGAAGACAATGTACAGAATAGTAAATGATTAAAATTTCAGAACAATAGAATAATTTATTGCAGAGTAACAGTAAGAAGTTCAATAAGGTGTTGGCCCGCCTCTAGTCTGGAAACAAGCGCCACAAGGCGTGGCATAGACCGATAAAGCTCCCGGATGGTCTCTTGCGGTATTTCCTGCCAAATTCGATCCAATTGTCGAACGAGGTCATCAACATTCCGTGCCAGATGCAATCGCCTTCCCATCATATCCCAGACATGCTCGATGGGAGAGAGATCTGGTGATCTGGCAGGTCAAGGAAGAGTTTGACAAGCTTGCAGACAGTTCATAGCAGCACGTGCCGTATGTGGTCTGGCATTGTCCTGCTGAAAAACCAGCCCAGGGCGCTGCGAAAGGAACGGTAGCAAAACAGGTCTTAAGATGTCGTCGACGTACCGCTGTGCAGTAAGTGTAGTACCTCTAATGACGACCAAAGGGTTGTCAAAGGAAATGGCACCCCAGACCATGATGCCTTGTTGAGGGCCGGTGTGGCGTGCAATAGTGAAGGCAGGATCCCCCCGCTGCCCTGTGCATCTCCAAACACGTCTTCGATGATAGTCAGGACACAGTTGGAAGCGGGATTCGTCGCTAAAGACTATACGTCCCCAGTCGACATCATTCCAGCCTGATCGAGTGTCGATTTTGCGCGTCTTAGTGCGTTCTTGGTGCGTCGCTTTTTTTGTTATAGAGTGTACTCTCTGAATATAAACTGCTTTTTTTAAAAAAAGTTTTGTTAAGAATTATTTGAATTTTAAATTTTGATTATTTTAAGATCAAGTTTGGACAATTTTTAAACCACATTGTTTTTAATACATGTAACACAACCTTACACTTTTGCTATTATAAATTATAAATCTTGTAAAACAAACTGCAGCTTTTAACATGAAAATTCAGACTGTATTAACTAAAAGTTATCAGTCTTTTGTATTTATTTTATAAGAAATGTTTCCTCTTTCAATAACAACTATAGATTTTTTTATAAACTTTTTGATTTTAATCGAATTTCAACTATTTAGTGTCCAAGTTTGGACCATTTTGAAACCATAAGTACTGCATGTATTTTTTTTTAAATATACAATTTTGTACTTTTTTTCTTACCATAACCAATATTAATCGTGTGAAATGCATTTTGCTTATTAACTTGGAGATAAGAAAATTTAAAAATATGAGTTAAAAGCTATAAGAATACTTTTTAAATCTAAAAATGGCAATTATTTATGCATAATATGTTAAATGTGCAATGATTAAAATAATGGCAGATTATTTTTACAATCCAGTTCAGAAGTGTGTTATTTATCATATAAACGAAGTGAACAAATTAACTACCTAAAATATAAATTAATATATGCATACGTTGATTGTTCCATCTTTTATATGTTTAAAGACTAACGTAAAAACTAACCAATTCTTTTATAAAATCATATAAAAGTTTGACTTTCTCATCTTAATGTGACCTAATGTAAATTAAGTATAACTAAATCCCAATTCTAATTAGTGCTTTCTTAATAAATTTGAAATTGAAAACACCTGACTATTTGCAAATATGTTATTTATCCTCTAAATAATGTGAAAAGAGTTCACCATTAAAATTAAAAATTTAATTGAATAAACTTATAGATTGAATTGGGCCTTTTTCTGCGGTTACTTTTATAATTTTTATATTAATTTAATCAAATAACGTATAATGCTATGCTTGAATCATAATACTGCATAATTAAAACATTTTGTTTGTATTTGCTTTTGATATTAATTTGATTTTTTAAAGCTCCAATGCTTGCAAAAATGTTATTTATCTCAAAATCAAGTTGGAAGAAATTCTGAGTCAAATCTCTTAATTTTTCTAATAAATAGAATAAACATAAAATATATGGAAAAATTCTTTGAAACTTTCATATTAATCAAACAAATGGCATGTATATGAGTCTTATCAAATACAATAACGTAATGTTTTTAAGAATAAATTTAAAAAAAATATTATTCCATGTAATGATTTATTTGAAAATTCTAGTATTTACAAGTATGCTATTTATCATTAAAATAAATTGAATGTAATTCATCCTCAATTTTTTTTACAAATATGGTGATACGGCATAATATATTTCAAAGTACAATTTTTTTTTATATATAAAATTAAGTAAAACTACAATTTTTCATTAGAGATTTCGAACCTATATTATTCTAAACAGATGAAAATGCTGCGTGAAAAAGTGTATACAATATTTTGGCAAATATGACACTTAATATGAAATCTATTTAGTAAATTTTTTGTTTCTTGTTTTTCAATTAGAAGTTATTAATCTGATTACGAATAAACTTGTGATAAGTATTTTTTTTTAAATTTAATTAAAATTGAGATTCAATTTTATAATTAAACTGATGGATTATCTTAGGACTTGTGAAAAGAAACAAAATTTTATACAAATTTAGCGAGTAAGGAGAAACGTTGCCACTAGGCTATAGAACTATCGTTAATTGGATAATTGTGTAGTAAGAGCGCTGTCAAAATCCATATTAAAAGATATTTTTTAAATTAAAAAAAAATGCGACGATACAATTTATAATGAAATGAAATGACACAATTGCTGTTTTCTTCTTTTTTCTTTCGTTTTTTTCAAAAAGAATTTTACTTTTTTAACCGATACAACAGGGCTCGAAAAACCACCCGTCCCCCCGTCCTCGGCGGTCAAAAATTCCCAGCGGACAACGAACTTCTCGAAACCGACGTCCGCGCGGACGTGATACATTTTCAATTTTTGTTATCTTACAATCTTTTTTGAAGGAGCAGATAAATTTTTTTTTCTCATGAATGGGTGTCATTAAAATTTAAGATACATAACATCACTAAACACCAGTAAACTTCAGCCCTCCGAGCCCAAGCTATTTATAAAGACCTAATGCAGCAAAATAACCCACGATACTTCAACATACTGCGCATGGTGGAATTGATGATCTCTGTCTTTGAGTTCTGCAGCGGTTGAAAGGAGTTTTTCAACTATGAACTTATTATAAAAAAGAAGAAAAAAACACACTTTACGTACTGGTCTTAAACAAGAAGCGTTAAACGCAATGATGAACATCTATCAAAATGGAAAACACCTTTCAAATTTTTGTGCAGAAACCTCTGTAATTCATTTGGCTTGATTGTGGAACTACAAACGTCATATTTATTTCATTTAAAAAACGCAGTACCATAGGATAAATTGACATTTCAGATAACTTGACCATTGGTCATTTAAATTATTTCATAAAAAAATAAATTATTACATAAGAGAAATACTGGGTTAATATTAATAACCTGGTATTTCTTTTATTACTGTGTAATGTAATCCTAGTAACTACGGATTTATTGTGTAATTTATATAAATGTTTGTAATAAATAAGAGAAACATAAACTTTTTTATTTATTTAGAAGCGACTGGTTAGTTTCAAAGGAGGGCGGGTATATTGTTGGACAAACCGTCCTCGGGGACGGGTAAAATTTCTAAGTTTTTTCGAGCCCTGCGATACAACATTACGAACGCAGTACGTTTAGTTACAAAACCTTGTGTAAAAGCTGTACAACTGGAGATTTTCCTGTCATTGAACTAGATTGATACCGTTGATTCAAGTCATGGTCGATTAAAAAATAATAACTGATACTCAAAAACGTTAATATTTTCTTTTGAAGAGGGAACACTTTTAGTTGATTTTTTTAAAAAAAGAACTCAGATCGGTTAAGGTTATTGGGGAATCTCGTCATGTGTGGTATTGGTGTTAAAAATCTGTAGTCTTATGATACTGGTATTATTACAATGCAATAAAATTGGGCCAATATTTTTAAATATTAAAGTTTAGTGATTTTTATAAGTAAAGAAAAAGGCAATCTTCACTTTTAGAAAAAAAGTATAGTTGAAACTACCAAAATAAGCCAAAATTCATCTTTCTCCAGGATCTATGAGAATATCAAAAGGCTTGATAATTTTTACAGTATCGCTTTGGTAATTAATTTAGTAAAACTAGCATCAAAATATGGTTTTATAATAAGTGAAAATTTGGTATATGTGATGAAATTTGATAATTTCATCATGATATTTTAAAGTATGGAGCAAAAATTATTTATTTGGTAAAATTTACTTTTCAGTTATATATTTTTTACTGTATATCTGCTAATAAGAACTATAATTTTGAAAATCAGAATTTCCGGTAAACATTTACCATATGAACTTTAAAATTTAGTAAATGAATGGTTTAAATACCGTAGATTTTAATTTATTCCGTATAAGCCAGAATTATGGTTTTTTTACTAGAAATACCATTGCTATACACTATTATAGTAATTTTACCTGAATTTTTTTTCTCCGTAGTGTTTTAGGGAGTCATATCGAACTTGATTAAGATGAAGCATGCATGTTCAAATATAGTATTTCAAAGTAATCCTCCATACAGTATACCATAATTTTATTATAATATTTCTGAGAGCACAAGCAATTATTTCCCTTAAATCATACAAATTAATTATAAATAACCATCTCTTATCATTCGCTTAAAAGTGAGTGTCAATTTAATGGAATATCAAATATATACTGAAAATATTTATTATTATACTATGATTAAATATATTGTTGGAACTTAAGCTTTTATGGAACACTATTACTGGCAATGTAAGCAATATATTTCATGGAATAAAATTGGTAATCTTACTTTATGATACACCCTTATAAGAAGATAATGTTCTTGCATGTTGGCAATCATCGAACTATATGACAAAAACTTTGATAAATTTTGAATGACTGGTGAGATTTACTTAAAATGTGGTGGTAAAATGCAGGACACAATGGAACTTACTTTGAGCATGCACTCTTATTATTGTAACTGTTCATTTCTCAAGAGCAGGAGTCAAGAAAAACATGATTTTTTTAAAGTGAAACAAGTTTGATATTGCAAAAAAAATTTGCGAACCATAACTTCAAAGAGTTTCACTGTTTTCCAGCACCAGCTGTTGATGGAAAACATATGGAATGTGGCATAAACTAAAATTGGTATTCTGCATTTTTTTGAAAATTTTGTGTCAATTTTTCCCCTTAGTAGTATTTGAAAAAAAATTTATTTCATAGAGCTCAATAATTGTCCCTCTGTATTTAGTCTTTTAATCTTTTGTTTTATAAAATTTATCCTTATCAAATCAAAATACTATACAAAAGTATGCAATGTACTTCGTCAATTACGATATAACTTTAAACATTTCAATTTATAGTCACAACGGTAGCAAAAAAGTTTACTCTGATAACAGACTCACACAAACATTGGTTAAATACTGCAATGCTTTCTGCTATTCGTAAACTGAATACTCTTTTTTATATTTCAGATTTTGGCTGTACTTACAGCAGTTATTTGCTGCTTGCTTTTGAAAGCTTCTTGTTTGCCATTGAATTCTCCAAATGATTGCGATTGTTCGAATACTGGCTCCTCAAATAGCAGAGAAAATCAAAGAAATGAAGAATGTCATTGCGATGCCGAAGAAGAAGATGACTCAGATGATGAGGAAAATCGGGTAAATGAAGGCGCTAAAGAAGCTTCAGATCAAAGTAAAGAAGCAAATATAGTAGATAGTATGCTGAAAATCGATAAAGGAAGCAATGATGAAAAAGAAGATAGCACTGACGGTAAAGAAGATAAAAGCAAAAATGATGATGACGATAAAGAAGAAATGACTGAAGACAAAGGTGATAGGGAGGAAATGACTGAAGACAAAGACGATAAAGAAGATAATAATGAAGACAAAGACAAGAAAGAAGATAATAATGAAGACAAAGACGATAAAGAAGATAATAATGAGGAGAAAAACAATAAAGAAGATAATAATGAAGACAAAGACGATAAAGAAGAAAAAACAGAAGACAAAGATGGTAAAGAAAAGATGTCTGAGGAAAGAGAGGAAAAGAAAGAAATGACTGAAAATAAAGATACAGACGAAGGAAAAGGTGAAAGCGAAGATAATTCAAAACATGAGGAAACTGAAACTTCTTCGCCGGATGATAAAGATGAAAAACATTCTTTGGCTGATGAAATATGTGAATTTGTCAAATCTATAACTAATTTAGTTGTCACTGCAGCTAAGAAAATTCATTCTCACAAATCATCTTGAATAAATTTGTTATGAAACAAATTTTGCATCTCCTTTTCATCAGCACAAATTAACAAATTTGCATCTCTTTTTCATCAACAAACAGGATTCAAGTAGCCTTTAAATATTTGGAAAAAAATATTATGTGGAGAACAGGCTAAAAACATTCTTGCATTTTTATAAATTTTAGCATTAGGAAAGCAACTTTATTTTTAAGAGTGAGCTAACTATATTGCTATTGAATAAAATTGTGCTTTAAAAATACCTAGTCAATTACACAATTTTTTTTATTTTAATATCTCTTGATGCTTTCTTGGAAGTATGTTATATGTAACTAAAATTTAAGTATAAATGAAGTTTGTCTTTTGAAAATTAAATTATTTAACTTACTCTCCTGGAACGATGCTTTAGTTACATTAAAAACACTCCAATTTAAAACTGCGTTTATTCTCGAATTTTCTTCAATACTATAGAGCTTTTTAATGATACAATAGAGGAAAAAAAGAAAACTAAAAACTATAATAATTTAAAAACTACTTTTCGTGAGAAAAATATTTTCAACAAACCTTTCTTTTGTGACATTTTAAATCAAAAATTCGAAATGAAATGTTCAAAAATTGGAGAAAAATACATATATATTTAATATTATATGCTCACATTTTATTTGTTTATTTACTTTTTGTATTTCATTTACCACTTTTTTGACGAACTATTTTACTTCATTTTATTTACATTTAAGCTGTATTTTTGTTGAAATTTTATTTTATATTATTCATTAAAATAAATTCATAAAAAATGAGATGCTGTGTATTTATACATAAAAGTCATAATTGTGTATGGAATGATGTAGCATCGTAACTACAATTTAAGTGTAAAATATTCTATGCAATCTTAACAGTAAACTTTCAATTGCTGTTAGCAGAAATAATGAAAACACGTCTTATTCATATAAACTAACAAAACAAACTCATTGGTGATAAATCTTGTATTACAGAAGTATGAAATCAAATAGTTTCATTCAAAACCTCTTAAATATACAAATCTATAAATCTAATTTTTATTTTCATTTTTAATTTTTTTTAATTCAATTTGAAATTTTTAGTTTTAAATCAACAAGTTTCATGAAGATTATAACAGATAAAAACTTTTACTGAAACAAATATTTGTTGTTAGATGCCAGTAAGACAGTATTCAGTTGCGATTGTCGATATTTAAAATTGAGTTAAATGAAATTTATTTAGACCTTCTAATAATGATTGTTTACTTTGCTAAAACCGAATTCAGAAACATATTACATGCAAACCACTTGCTATATACTTTCAATGAGCTATTCTGAGTTGCTTTGAGTGGGTTTATAATCTAACTAAAAAAATTATATCTAGGCTAAAGTAATTCTGCAACGTAATATCTGATTTTATAAAAAAAGAATATCAGGAGTAATTAAAATTACAATGAGATAATACTTTAATTTATTCCTTGAGGTTGAACATTGTATATCATAATATGATACTAATTAGCACTTTTCATTTCTGAATCATACTCATAATAGATTTAAAAATTTTATTGAGTTAAGGCAGAGTGATAATGTAGGTATTGAAAAATAAAATTACTACTCTCCCACTCAAGAACTACTCAACTCGTCATAACGGGACCGGTTGCCTTCATTAGGCCAAGAGCACGTATTCTTACTTTTTCAATATTTACTTTCTAATTTATAATTGTAACCCTTATTTCCGGATGAGTGTATTATGGAAAATAACAATTAGATTAACATCCATAAAACTATAAAATTTACTCACAAAAACAATTTCTAGTTCAATTATTATACTCAATAGCAATTATTTTTCGAACGGAAAAAATAATAATAATTTTGGTTAATGAAACCTAAAATTATTGCGGTATTTATGCCATTGATTTTATAATTTTTCCGTTCGTGCTGTAAAGATTTAGTGGATATTCTGATTCTTATAAAAACAATAGTTCTTTTAACCAAACATTTATTAAAACTGCAAACTAGAAGGTAAATTAAACCGAATATTTCGTTCTTATGCAATGTTCTAAGGTTATTATGAAATCATCAAATTTTATCAAATATTATAAAAATATATTTTGTTTTTAACTTCTCAAAAAAAGATTACCAAAGAACTTCCGTAGAAATTACCGAGCTTTTTGGTGTTCTCAAGGAACCAAAAGCATGGCAAATTTTACCATATTTTTACAGTCTTCGCCATACAATTTTTTTTCAATACGTACTGTTAGGATGTTACTACATGCCGTTAGAAATAAATTGTACCCTATGAACTTTAATAATTTGTACTAGGAAAACTTAAATGAAAATCAAAGTAAGAATTACATTTTTATGACGCATGTTTGCACATTTTGAACTTTAATCCAACATTCATTTAATTTAGTGATTCAATTATTATATTAAAAATGATTCCAATGAATATGAGAAAGATACTAATTGAGCTCTGAGAAAAAATGTATGTTCAAAACTACCAGAATATTGAAAAAATTCGCACTGTTTTTGGCTCTATGGGAACACCAAAAAGCTCGGTACTTTTAACGAAAACTTTTTTGGGAAAATTGGAAAAATCATCAATAAAATAAGGTTTTATAATATGTAATAACATTTAGCAAATTTGGTGATTTTATCATGATACCCTATAGCGTGGCATAAAAACAATTTATTAGGTTAACTTTACTTTTATGTTGTTTTTTTTACTAAATATGTGGTAATCAGAACTATAATTTTATAAACTAGAATTTCTGGAAAGTAGTTATAATAATTTGAACGGAAAAAATACCAGATAAGTAATTTAAATACCGTTCACTTCGGTGTTATTACCAGAATTATGATTTTTTTTTGTTTCACCATACAGTAGGGTAATTTTTCCTGTTTTTTTTCTTTCTGAGTATTCAACAATTTTTTATTCTCTCATAACAATTTAACTGAAGGTAATAATATTTATTTGAGGAATTTTAATAACCAATATGGTAGCAGTTAGAAGCTGGTCTGTTTTGTATGCATTCATTTTTGATGGAAAATAAATCAGTTTCAAGACTGGACAAAACTACATAATATATAAACGAACAATGTGCTTTTATTTGACTCTTAAGAACAATGAAACTGAAAGACGCATTTCTTACCAATAAATAACAATGATCTTTTTTATCCTAGAGGCTAATTTTAATTGGAGTTTATATTATCACGTAAAATAGTAACGTTATGCTTACGCTACTCATAGCTCTGGCCGTTTCAGTGTAGCATTTTATATATAGCGTTTGTAGCGTTTCAAGTATTTGGCAATTTTTGATTTTGCAAACATTCTAATACAAAATTCAATAATAGTTTAATGAAGAAATGTTTATTAAAATTACCGGAAAATGCTAGCTTTATAAACTGTTCAAATGATTTGCCTTTTGGTGAGACTTATTTATATTTTCTTACGATAAACAATTGTTACAAAATTAACTTTTTTACACTGAGGAAAAAATTGTCTTAACTTCCAGAATATGGTAACATTTACCGTGTTTCTGGCTCTTTCGGAACCCCAAAAAGAAACCCAAAGTATGGCAGTTTTACTGAAGTGCTTTGGTAATGATTTTAGTAAAACTAATAAGGAAATATGGTTTTATAATATTTGATAAAGTTTGGTAAATATGGAAAGGTTTGATAATTTTATTATAATACTTTAGAGCATAGCATAAAAACTATTTATTCGGTTAAACTTACTTTTAATTTTTGTATTTTTTATTAAATGTGGGGTAATATCAACTATAATTTAGAAAAACAAAATTTTCAGTAAACTGTTACCATATGAACTGAAAAATTACCTAATGAATGACTAAAATATAGTACAATTTTGTTTTATTAATCAGAATTTTTCGTTTTCTTTAACCAGAAACGAAATTACTATACAATACAGAAATTTCACCACAATTTTTTTCTCGGTGTAAGAATTTGTTATATTTTTGTTGTTTTAATGAGTTTATAAAAGATTTTCGAAGCGTAAAGTTATCATAAATTCATCTAAAATTATTTTAATTAAAAAATACTAAAAACATTCTTAAAATTAAAAATCAATATAAGTTGCATTTAAAGAAAATCAATGTTCAAAACTAAAATTTGTTTACCCAATTTTTTGTGTTTATAAACAATTCAAATTAAAGAAAGCTCTTGAACAAAAAACCATCTTTTATTTAATTTTTTCAAGTTAGTCAACTATAACCAGAACGTTCGTAATGGTTTATTGTTTAGAGTTATGGTTTTACATAATTTTGTTTCCTAACGTTTATACAATTTAATACATCATGATGAGAGAATTTCTGGTAAACCGTTACCATATGAAAAGAAGAATTACCAAATGAAAGGTTTAAATACCATTTGTTTTTATTAACCAAATTATGTTTATTTTTCTGAAGCGTCACTACCATACAGTATGTTAATTTTACCTGATTTCCTTTTTCCACCTGTTACTTTAGAAAAATTATTAAACTGAATTAACATTTAAAAATATTTTCAAACTTTCTTAAAATCTATTTTTAGCTATAAATATTTTTAAAACAACTTCTGTTTTTTTTTTTTGGCTAATAAATTTATAAACACACGTCCGTCTTCCCATATAAGCTACTCATATTTCAACTAATATAAAGGTTTAAAAAAAAGACAAACATTTTGAAATAAAAATGTTGATTTCTTATGCAGATAAAAAATTCGAATTCGATTTCAATTTTTCAAAATTTAAGATCTCCATTCATGCATGATTTTTTAAATTAATCTTATTGTAAAAATATTTTTTATGTATTTAAATATGCTTATTTTAAATGGTTTATATTTGTTTTTTTTTATATTGTTATTAAATATTTAATAAACTGGGCAAAAATAATTTTTTGATCCTTAAAAATATGTGTTAATTTAAGATTGAGTTATATGAATTGAATAATACGAAAATGAAGCGTCTCAGGTTGAATTCCATTCCTAATTTTAGACATTCGTTTAATTAAACATATCCATTATTAAAATTTAATAACTTTTAATGCACAGTGATTGTTATTTCATGTGTTATTTCATTTTTTAACATTATCATTTCATTATAATTTATCTACAATAATAAAATGATTGTGTGACTACCAGTGTCAGTGAAAAATGTATGATTTCAGATATTCAAATTTAGATGAAGGGTGATCGGCCAATTATATACCCTAATCCTAAATGATTTAAAATTTTGATAATTTTTTTTCAAGAAAGGTGTAATAAAAACTGTCGAAAGATTAGCATCATGCATAGTTTTATACAATTTGCAGATATTGTGTTTTTTCATTTTCAGTTAATTATATGATAACATCAGTGATGTTTGATATCTTACAGCTATATTTGATTGAAAATTAGTTCTATTATGAGTTTATGGCAAGTTCATTGAAATTATTTCTTTTTGTTAATTCATTATATCAAGTATAATTAAAGCTGGTGGCATGTTACCAAATTAGTATTTTAAATACTCTCTGAAACAACGAGATGATTTTTGTTGAAAATTACTCTTTTGTATTGCGTTTTATAGAAATTAAATATTGTTGAGTCGTAGTTGAAATGAAAGAAAAGTTGTGTACGTAAGTTAGGTTTGGTTCTTAGTTGTGTACTTATTGTTTACTTCATTTTTTATTCCTTTTTTATTTTCAATTAATGGAAAAATAACGTTATTTAGGTTTGACTGCTTAGAGCTATATTTAAACAAAAATGAGTTTCACTGAATGTTCATGTCAAGCTCAATTATTATTATTTATTTATTATTAATTCATTATAATAAGTAAAATTAACACTGAAGCATGTCACTGCATTAGTATTTTAAATACTTTCTGAAACAGCGTGTTTATTTTTGTTGATGATCTTTCTTTTGAAACGCGTTTTTATGAACTTCAATATTATAAGTTCGTAGTTGAAATCAAAAAAAAAAAACTGAGTACTCAAGTGCACATTCAATAATCATTTATTTATTTGTTTTTTTTTGTTATCGGATGGGCATACTACTGCTAGCTATTTTGCCATACTTTTAGAATATTTCTAGAATAATTTAGAATATATATAGATAGGTCGATAAAAGTTACTTTAAGTCATTTTTTCAAATTGATCAAGCTTACTACAACTCTAAGCTTATTGAAAAAATCATATAAGCTAAGCGCAGAAAATAGTTCTAGTAAAATTACTGTACTGAATGGTAATGACATTTCTGGTAAAAAAAATTCATTCTGATTTATAAAACAGAAATATACGATGTTTAAACCATTCGTTTGGTAACTTTTCTGTTAATATTGTAACGGTTTACCGAAAGTTGCAACGATTTACCACAACACTGAAAAGCAAATTTAACCAAATAAATAGCTTTTGTGCCATGCTCTAAGGCTGCGTTCCAAAACCTAAACCTGTGGAAACCTAAAGGCTCAACGATCAATGTTCATTTGATGGAACCACGAGATAATATAAATAAATTTCTTTTAGCAATTGTGAACATGTAAATTAGTGAAAGACTTAATCATTTTAAAAACATGTAATGATCTTTATTTTATAAACTACTTTAAAAATATTTAGAGAATAAAGGAAGAATTAAATTATTTCATCCTATTGTTTTATCAATATTAGTCTTAAAATTGTGTCTTTGCGATAGACAGTTGAATTCATAGGTCTGGATCAGCATTCTAGTCAAATTTTTAATTTTTTTTTCATGTATGCATGAACTGAAAATTAAGGAGTTGAAATATGGTTTCTATTACAACAAAACCGGAAAAGGAAGAAAATAAACGTTGAAAAGTGGTTATCAGCGAAACATACTTCTTCATTGCTGAATGTAGTTATTTTTAGCGGAATTTTTCATAAAAGCTTCCTTTTCATAATTCATTCATTATATTGTTATTAGAAAAACATTGAAATTTCTTTTTTCACAAACATTTCAATTAAATACTCTCGTAACAACGTAAATATTAAATAAATAATGTATTATTAACAGTACATAAATTTATTTACAAGTTTCGAAAAATATAAACGGTAAAAAAAAAAATTCTATCTGTAGGAACCCCTGTGACCCTTCCACGGAGCCCTAAGGATCATTTGGAAGCCCCTGCTCTTAAGTATCATGACATAATAACCAAATTTTACTCATTTACCAAGTTTTATCACATATTATAAAATCACAGTTTGCTGTTAATTTTTAACAAAATCATTACCATTATCATTGCCATCGGTAAAAGTTTACCGAAAAATTATCGGTAAATTTTTTTTAAAAAATCGCTAAAAATTACCGAACGTTTTGGAACTCTCAAAGAGCCAGAATCACAGTGAATTTTACCATAAGTTTTGACCACGATTTTTTTCTCAGCGTAGTTTTTAAGTATTCTGTATCTTTTTCAGACCTTGTTGATGTTTTTAATATCCTCATCATCCTTCCCGACATCCCCTCCGAGTGATGAAGACATTGATGAAGAATATTACTCCTCCCCCTGTGGAAAATTTGACGGTGATGGTGAATACGACATTATTATTGATGAAAATGTGATAGATGATTCTGATGAGAGCTATGAGGACATGAACATATCGGATAGTGAAATAGATGAAGATGATCCCACTAATATGGATAATGTAATAGAGTTTATGGGTTACATTTGTGGAAATAAAACCGATGATAAAAACAGAAGACGAAAAAGACAACTATAAAGTTATTAAAAATATAATTATTTCTACATGCTATCGCTAAAAATGTCATTGATTGCCTTTTTGTCAAGGTTTTCCAGCTTTCTCAGTGCAATTTAAGTATTATATACCTTTTGTAGACTTTGTTGATGCTTTTAACTCCCTCATCTTCATCTCTTCCGAGTCATCAAGACAGTGGTGAAGATCAGTACTCCTCCTCCTGTAGAAAATTTGACGGTGATAGGGATTGTGACACTATTATTGATGAAAATGTGATTAACGATTCTGATAACAGTTGTGAGGATATATCGGAAAGTGAAACAAACAAAGATGATCATGAAGATATGGATGACATAATAAAGTTTGTGGGTTACATTTGTAAAAATAAAACCGATGATAAGAGCAGACGACAAAAGATACAACGACAAAATTATTAAAAATAAAACTATATCTGCATGCGATCTTTGAATATGTTATTGATTGCCTTTTGTGTCGAGGTTTTCCAGTTTTACTACAAAAAAAAAGTTCAGAATAGTTGTTCACGGTGTTCTGCTCTTATTTTAATAACAGAAGATGAAATATTTTAAACTCAATTTAATTTTTTCTTAAATTAAAGGAAAAATCCACAGTTCTCTATGGTTTTTAGAAAAAATTTGGCCACATCTAAAATATCATAAGAAGCATTATTTTATAGAAGTGGGTTTCGGATGTTTTAGAGGAATTTTTTTAGGATGAATTTATCTCGATTTTCGAGATGACTACTAATATGAACCAGCATTTTTATTTTATCATTTTAGGTGGTCGGGAGTTGTCCTTCAGTTAACATTCTCATGATCAGTATTTTGTTGGTACACTCGTTTCTTACATTGACAATAGAAAAGCTCATCAAGCTGGACGAATTTTATTTAATAAGCACTCATACACCCAATTACATTTCCATCGGCCTTCGAAATCACCAGATTTGAAATCCACAATTGTGCGATTTCGTGTGATAAATTCCCCAGTGAGTTGATTAAACTCAATTCAACCTACCTAACAAACTATATTGATTCCTTTCCTAACCGAATCCAGGCGATTATCAAGTCCAGAAGTTATTACAAAATGCTAAACTAATTTCGAAATTAATTTATTTATGCTTATTACTTTTTCGGTTAGCTTATGCAAAAGCTTATAAATAGAGTGAATACAACAATTAAGTGGAAAGCTAATTTTAAACTAAAATTTAATTCAATATGCTATCTTCTGCTTCTGAAAATACACTAAACACATTATACCTGGATATAATTAAAAACTGAATAAAATGTAGTATGTATGCATTGGACGCACGTGAAGGTTCGCCTTAATTTTTAAAACCATTTCACCGAAAAAAATATGATATTTGTTGCAATTTGGTTTTCATTTATCTATAATATTATTCATTTTGTTAAATACCTGTATTGATATAAAAATAAGAGTTTTATGGATAACAACTAGTAAGGGAAAAGGAAGAAAATAGTCCAGATTTGAAATAAACTGCTTTCTGCTTGAAAATAAACTGTCCCTATTGAATTTAATCTATAAAATTTGTAAAATTTAAAACTTGTTAAAGTTAAAGTTGTAACCATACATACTGTCTTCTGACGACCACCATTTTTTTCTCTCTTTTTATTTCAAAATATGTTGGCAGATTTAAAACTTGTAAATTTGTTAAAGTTTACCTCATTGTCAAATAATATAGAAAGGAGAGGAAGTCCAATAGTAACTAATGCGGGGAACAGCTCGGAGAGCGGTATGTTATACCATAAAAACAATTTACAGGGTGACCAACATACTTAGCCCAACATCATATATACTAAGATCTAGTGAGCATACGAAGCAAAGTGACAGTTAAGAGGTACGTTAACTGTGAACCTGTGGTTGGACAACTCTACATATATGGTTGCGTACACTGTCTTCTGACGACAGCCATTTTTTTCTCTCTTTCTATTTCGAAATATGTTGGCGGATTTAGTCAACATGGATGATATAAATGTGTTCTCAAAGAAATATCTTTAGTAATACTACAGTACTGTTAATAAAAAGTGCAAATATGCAGAAAAAAACAGCAATAAAAAAGGGAAAGCTTTTCATCACCCCCAACCTTTCACCCATCCCTGTAATGGTTGGGAGTAGAGGAGGATGAAAACAAGTCTCAACCTCTGCTGTTGTTCTTCTTATTGTTGCTTTTGCCTTTATACATAGGAATCGCACCATGCATTGGGGGACGGGTGCACATTATGTCCATTGGTGCTAGCCTTCTTCTCCTATTTATATTCGTTGTTATGGTAACCTTAGCAAGTGCGACCTTTTATCAAATAACATAAAAAATGACATATTTGGTCCATAGCTGCTCTTATTGATCTATTTAAGCCTAATTATGGCGACAAATAGCATGTTAGAATAACGCGAAAATTGTAACATACTTCAGAGTTAATCTATTTATCCCGAAAGCTCGCTAAAACATTATCCAATTTAAAGTAAATAGCAAACATTATTAACTACAAACTTCAATAAACAAACCATACATAATAAATCCATAACCATACATAATCTTGCTTGAAAAAATACCACATGAAACTTCTCTACTAAATAAAATTCAACAGTCTCAGCCCCATCTGGTACAATGCCCACTGTTATTTCAGAGCATTTTTCATTTCAAGATATTCTTTTCACTTATTTTGCTTGTCTCAAGACATTGCAAATTTATTTAATAGTTATAAATGATGGTTTTTAATTTCAAAAAATGTTTCTTGTAAATAGTTAATTTAAGAAATTGAAAAAAAAAATTGCTATCACTTTATATGAGTACTTATTAGTAAAACCTAAAACAAAATACCTTGGATTGCATTGATAGTTTGAACAAAAGAAGAGTTATGCTATTGTTGCTCGTTATTGGTATTTATTTTCAGGAATAGTTAGTCCCATCATCAGACAAATAACATAACACAATAAAAACACATTGCGTGATGAATCATAGATTTACTTTCATATGATATTCAATGAATTTGAAGGGCGCAGGTAGACTAATAAATGATTATAATGAATCAGGAAAATATTAAATACCATCCATTTGCAAGTTATGAAATCTTTTGAAACGCTTTTCAAAAGTTGATCACACAATATTCGAAGGACATTGCGTGATTAAACTTAGACTACATAAAACTATAAAAAGTAATATTTTACAGTTGAAAACTCAACTTAAATTCAATGAAGCAATTTTAAAAATGTCAAATATAATGGTAAGATTTTTTCTCAATTTATAACCAATCTAACTAAATAAAAACTGAGAAAAGGCTCAGATGCTAATCATGATTTATTTTATTTTATTCTGTCTTTTTTGTTTGTAGCTTGTGTCATTTGATTTAATATTAAGTTGTAAAAAATATAGGAAATAAAGTTTTTTCAAAATTAATTCTTTTTTGAAAACAATTTTTAATTGTTTTTTATTATTATTTTTTTATTATATTATTTAATAAGGGTCTTAAAATTATTGAATTATGAGTTATATAAATTTTTACACAATTTTATCAAAGTAATTTTAAATGTCAAAACACGAAATTTGAACAAAATCGGATGAATAGTTCTTTAGAAATAAAACTTAAAAATATGGCTTTTATTAAATAATTGCTCAGGTACAACAAATTTGTAACTCCAACAAATTTGTTCACATTTTGCATTTTGTCATTTAAAATCGCATAGTTTAAAATAGTGTAAAAATTTTTACGCCTTACAATGCATTTCGGTGACAGTCACTTCATTAACATGCATTTTGGTGACAGTCACTTCATTTACATGCATTTTGGTTACAGTCACTTCATCAATAACATCATACGTTTCATCTACAGCACTCATCATCAGATCAATCTATCAATTAGGTCAGGCGATTTTGTCAACCGGGTCATTTTGTCAACAAGGTCGTTCGTCAACAAGGTCGTCTCCTCGACAGGGTCATTTTATCGACATTATTTAGAAAATTTCAGGGTTTCGTAATTTTAGTATATTTTTTCGTGTCTCAATTTTTTAAAATCAGTATAAAGCAAAATTTGTGTCCCATGTGCGATAGCCAAAAAAGAAAAATGATTTTTAGTGAAATCATATTGTTTCTTTAAGACAAACTTTATTAACATTGCTTACAATTCACAATCGAACGCATCTTTTAATTATCATTTTCGAGTGGAGAAATATCCAAATCCATATCATTTACAATGGGATTATGATACCTAAAGTAAGATACGAAATGTTTGAGTTCTATTTTTTCAATATTTCTAGCAAAAACTGCATCAATGATAGTTCCCCCTTTGGTTGTTGGATCATTCCTACCATTTATCATTTCCAATCCAAATTTGTCTTTAAGGAAGGTTAATAATGTTTCAGCTTCAGGTAACGAGAAATTCACATTAAAATCTCCTGCAAGGATCACAGGCAATAATCACAGGCACAATAATCAGTTTCTTCACCAGTAACATCTGCCAGAGCTTGTGAACCTGCAGTGGATAGTGGCAATAAAGATGTTCCGTCATCAATAAACAGTTAGTTTGAATAATTGTTTTAAATCGTCTGCTGATGTAACTGCAACTCTAGCTGGTTGCTAGGAAACCAAACGACTTTTTCTTGTTATTAATGTTTTGTTTTGCTTATCGTTTAACGCAACTTTGTTGGAAGTCGCATTAGAAATTTCATTTTGCACGTATTTATTTCTGAGATTGATTGTTTAGATTTAATTTTTATTGATAAGCCTCGTTAAGTCAATTGCAATAACTACTTTGAATGTTTCTTGATATAACAAGTGAAGGAAGAGGGGAAAAAAATAAGGGGGAAAAGGAAGTGAATTAATGAAGCAGCATTCAATCCAATATTAATAAATACGGAAATAATTTTAGAATTGAAAATTGTGCTTTTCTTTCCTTTTTTTTAATTAATTGATAGTTAGTTGGAGAGCTTTTAACGGCTATCACCATCAACTTTTTTTGACAATGTAATAAATCAATAATCATAGATGGGCAAGAATAATTCTCCGATTATCACTAAGCATGAATCATTTCATCAACAAGGTTGTTTCGTCGAAATTCCATTTCGTCTTCTGTGTATTTTGTTAATTCGGCAGCTTCGTCGACTATGTCTAACCGTCCACCGGTCATTTCACCAAAAGGGATGTTACCGGGACAGGACTTCGGCAAGTCGTTTCATCACTCGCACAGAAAAAAAAGAAAAAGGAAAGAAGAGAAATGAATAACTAAATATGAAAGGGAAACTTTGAGTCGCATTATTCATTAAATAAGTGATTCGATTTATTAATAAGTAAAAATACGCAAGAAATGCAAAACACTAGGAGACCATAATTATTTTACTATTTATTTTTGGTGGAACCGTGGTGGCTCATGGGATAGAATGCTTTTTTCCAATGGGGTGACCCGGGCTCGAATCCCAGCGATTTCTGTTCGATACGAATTCAGCACCCAGCACACACCGATCACAGTGCTGACGTAAAATACCCTCAGTAAAACATCCTAGACGGGTTAGAGTCCCCTTGCTGTCAGGCTAACCGTGAGAGTTTTTAATGGTCTTCCTCTGTATGTAACGCATGTGCAGGTTAGTTCCATCAAAAAAGCCAAATAAGACGAATACTGGGAGAGATGTACAAGGCTACAAAGTTAAACATTAGTAGTAGTAAACTCTGAACTGGTTCGGCTGTTGAACGACGTTCATAAAATAGAAAATAAAATATTTATTTCTGTCAATTTATCAGCCACGAGTCGTTAATGCATAGCATAGAACCTGGATGAATTATTTTATTTGTTAAATAAAAACTACATTTTTGATTTCATTGAGATCTCTTAGTTTATTTAAACTGTAACATTCACAGAATCAAGATCTTTAATTTTTTTAAGATCTTTTTTTTAATGATGCTTCTTATTTTTTACACACATTAAATGTGATTTTTGTTATTAGTGAGTAATTTCTTTGACCTAGTTAATATAGTAGAGCGGCATAATTTAAAAATTTAGTTATAGTTTTGGATAAAAACATTAAAATCTTTATTTTTCTGAGTACAAGATACGAAATAACTTTTAGATATTAGGACATTTTAATCTCTATCTCCAATGGTTATACTGGAGAGAGGAATAGGGGGTAACAGGGGAATAGATATAAATATTGCTATCTAGAAAAGTTTGGTTTTATTTCGATGCATTTCTCTTTTCTTAAACGAAACAATATTTTGATAGAACTAATATCTATGAAGTAATGAGGGTTTAATGTATGAAAATTATAATTTTTGACTAATTCTCTTTTACTCATAAAATTATTGCAACTATATGAAACAATTAATTTGATCAACTTCACATTAATTTTATTTGAGGAAGCGTAAAATCTATTTGAGAAACATTACTTAACTTGTCTATATAACAATGCTCGGCGTTAAATATGAGTACACAACTACTCATTGTATGTAAAAACTTTAATAACGTTTGAAATTGAATTTCTATTGACTATGCTTCAGTCTCAATAAATTCAGCTTAAATACATTGGAAGCAATACCACACTTGCCTAGATAGCAAAGTATAAATTGGTTTAAGTACGAAACTGTATATTTTATACATAAAGCTTAAATATCCTCAAAATTATTTGTGATATCAATCTTAAAATTGATTTCATTAGATTCTGTTGCTTGTCTACATATAATTATTTAAGTTTTTCCCTCGAATAAAACATTAAATACCCCACTACTGAAATTATGAATATATTATGAAATAAACTTGAATAAAATGTTTCACTTTTTTCTCTAAATGCTAATTTTTTTTTTTTTTTTTTTTNTTTTTTTTTTTTTTTTTTTTTTTTTTTTTTTTTTTTTTTTTTTTTTTTTTTTTTTTTTGCTGACGCTGCCTTATGGAGATTCTGTTAACAATTCAAGCGCAATTGTTACCAGGATTCAAACGAATCTTAAATCGTTGATGAATACTTAAATCGCTTACTCCCAACCACTTTACAAATTGATGAATCAATCAATTTTGACACTATGTGAGAGATAGTAAGACGAGGTAATTTCTCTTATAAACAACATTTAACAATGCCCAGCAGAACAATGGTAGGAAAATTAAAGTATAAAAAGCTCATAACCTCTCCGATGGATATTATATGAAATACAAAGAGTAGTAAAATAAAATTTAAAAAACATTAGCTATTGTAACGTCGGGATACATCGAAATAGCTTAACGTAGCTGAACGTTCACTAAGCTATCCCCATATATAGTAAGTAAATATCCCAAGAGGAACATAGGTACAGATTGCCAACCATCCCTAAGTTCTGCAGGCCGAAGTTGATAAGTACTCAAATTGCTTACTCTCAGCCGTGCTAAAAACTGATGCTACAGTCAATTGATAATTTATCACTATATGGAAATACTCCAGCCTCACATATGCTATCATTACAACAGCTATTATTCTTTACGGAGAACTCAATGGCCAGTTAAATCACTGTTTGTGGCCCAAATTTTTTTAAGAAACGTGGAACACAACTTTTATTGATTGTACGTAAGAAGTTCTTGACCGATTCAATTAACGAAACAAATTTCTTTAATTGATACGATGACGCCCTTTTACGTTCTTAGTGGTCCAATATTCCATTTTAGTATCTCATATATTGAACCTCTAAATTCATTAAACCAGGGAGAAAAAAAACAACTTTTTGATAATAAATGGCTCTCCAGAACTAAATTTTGTCAAACTGATTAAAATTTATGCATTATATTTTTTGTATTTTATATTATTTCTCTTTTTTCTACTCTGAAAAAGAAGTATGGTCAAAACTACCGGAATATAGCAAAATTTACAGGGGTTCTATTGGAATACCAAAAGCTCAGACTTTGGTAATGATTTTTGTAAAATTAATATCAAAATATGGTTTTCTAATACGTGATAATATTTGGTAATTTCATCATGATGCTTCAGAGCAGGGCATGAAAATCATATATATATATATATATATCTATATGGCACGGAGNTCTAAGGAATGCCTTGGCAATGTGCGAAATATTTATAATTTCATACTTTTTTTATGATTGATCTTTCTTTAGAAGGCCTAGAGAATTTGGGAAAAATTAAATGTTTCATTTTTGCCAGTATGCCATTTATATATATATATATATATTCCTTTTATTATATAATGTTTCGCAGTAGACTGAGCGTAAAAACACGGTTCCCAGCAGAACACCGAAGTTAAGCATCACAGGCTGTGGTCAGTAAGCGGATGTGTGACCACTTTGATCAATCTGCCTTGGGACCGAGGGTGTGCGGTATCGGTCGTCGTTAAAACTGTTCTACTGTAAAGTACTCGACTTCGCGCGCAGTCGGGTTACCAAAGCAGGGGAGCCATCCATCTGCATAGGATCAAAATTGCGATGGCACGTCTTCGGATCATCCTCAGGGATGTTTCCCAGACCGTCGCCAATGGCCCACTGTGCAGCTCTAGTGTGACTAAAATAAAGTACCTACCGTACCTTGAATATATAATTTATTAATAACATTCATAAGATACTTTATTGACGAGTGCAGCTTAACCCCGACCCGCCTCGACAGGGGGCATCTAGGGAATACTGAAGTCTGGAAGAGAGTATCCGAGTTCTATCAGTACAAGAAAACAAATAGATTGGGTAGATGAACAAAGGAGATCTGCGAATGAAACAATCTTGAGAATGATCGTGGGCTTCACGTGAGTTGTACAGATGTACAGATGTGCTGTTAACAAAGCTCCAAGGTACAACTGAAGAATGTTTCCTATCTTAACATAAATTTACAGATGTTACATGCGGAATAGAGCATGAAACTTGTGTAATAAAGTGAGAGGCCCTTCAACTTTATCAGCAACATGGTCTGAAAATGAAGGTTGTAACATTGGCAGCTAAAATTTTTTTATTTTATTGAAAATTAAATTCCTATTGTTTACTTATTTATTAGTTTCTTATACTTCTACAGTATAATTAAGTACTCTGTATTGAATATTCCTAATCAATCATTTACAACTTGACTTTAAAAGTTTAATTTTAGTTATATGCACTGAATTTTTAAATTCGTATTTTTTTTCCAGAATTTGAACTTCTGATACTTTAAATGTTGCCTTTTTGTGTTTCACGTGAAAAATGTATGATAACCCAAGGCAACCATTTAATGCTACGATAATTACTTCCTCAATCTTATTTGAATAATTTATGTAACGTTAATTATTTTTCAGGTTTCAATAGTTGCAATTTGTGTCTACCTAGCTGCTTCAGTAGTAAACAGTCAATCGACAGAAGAACCAGATGTAACAATACTGTGCCCGTGTGATGCAGATGATGAAGCATGCTTCAACGATTGTATGAAAGATTACGCCTTAACAGACTGTCTATGTGAAGAAAATGATGAAGCTTGCAGGGAAAAATGCCTGGAATATGAAATGGGTAGTGGAAATTTTAGTAGTTCTGAAGAAGGTAGTTCAGATGAAGGTAGTTCAGACGAAAGTAGTTCAGACGAAAGTGGTTCCGAAGAAATTAGTCTCAGCCAAGAAAACGGATCAAATCGCCGTAAAAGACAAACTAGTAATCAGAGAGGTCAACAAGGTCAAGGAGGAGATCAGCAAGGCCGAGGAGGAAGTCAGCAAGGACAGAGAGACGGACAGCAAGGCCAAGGAGGAGGACAGCATGGTCAAAGAGGAGGTCAACGAGGGCAGTCAGGTGGGCAGTAAGGACACGGTCAGCGTGGACAGCAAAGCTAAAGCGGTGGACAAAGGAGCGGATAGTAGGGGCAGCGTAAATGTCAGCAAAGATAAAGTGTATAGCATAAGACCAACATTATTGTTGAAAGAATAAAAATGACATATTTTGCAATTTAAAGAAACACCGAACTTCAATGAAATAGTGTATTTGTTTATTTCAAAACTAATAATTTCAATGACATTTCTGACATTTTCACATTCATTGTAACATTTTCTGAGATTTTCAAACTAAAATAATATGTAACGGGATGCAGGTGAAATCAAATATCCTGACCCAAGTTAAACAAATACAATTATTTATTAATAGAGTCATATTAATCATAACATTTTAATCATCGATATTTTCCAATCTGGCACAATAATAACACGGTTCCTTATACCCTAAATAAACCTAGCCTGTTATTACATAACCTAATAATAACCCTAACTGAAGTATCAGATTATGAAACACATTTATTTTTACCGTATTAAAACGCCTTAAAATAGTTTGATCATAAAAATTACATTTTTAAAATATTTGATACAATTTTTTTCAAAAAAATCTTATTTAAAGAACTACAAAAAAAAAACTTTACGTCATCAAAAATGAAAGTTTTCTGATATAAAACATACCTCAAAAGTTTAATTAAAAGTTTCAGCACTCTGATGCATTTACTGTAGGTATGGTTATATTATGCATTAAAGGATTAGATAAAAAGAAGGAATTTTTTTATTAGAACAATTTCACAATCAGAAATAAAACTGACACGTTTAATGATACAGCTATCCTTTTTAGTAGTCATTTCTTCACGAAGTCACGAAAAAACGATAGTTTAAAATGCTAGATTTCGTGACGAAGCATGAACTCTAACATTTTAAACTAAACTAGTTATATACTAATTGGGTAGCTTAGTACATTCTGCGAATTCTAAAATTTCTTATGTGATTTTAAAACTGTTTGAATTATGTGACGGGATGGTACAGGAATTAGTGGGATCACTTTTCAAACAGGTTTCTTTAATTTGAATCTCCTGTAGTGATGACAGTTAGCTTATTTGCTAATACTCTTTTTATTTAAAGTCTTATTTTCTAATGCTCTTCTTATTTAAGGTCTTATTTTCTAATCAATTCTGTTATTCAATAGATGCTAACTTCATGCTTTTGACAAAATTTGTATTCTGAAGCAAATAAATTACAGTAAAGGATTAAATTTATGTGACAAACCTCAATTTTACACAGTGTTCACTCTCTGCCTAGGAAACGGTTTAGTCAAAATTTGGATAATTTTGAACTACTTTTAGTTTTAATTTTTTTCTATGAAAATATATATATGATTCTTAACTTTAAATAAGACAACAGAAATTTAATTTGAGTATCAAACAAGTCATGATACGAATCATAACATATGTAGAGGGCTTTTAAGAAGGAGCTTAAAAATTTTCTAAATTTTGTCATGTTCTCGTTCTTTTAAAAACGAACAAAAAAAACTCAACACAAAATAAAATCACAAAATTAATCTAAAAAAATTCCCAAGCTCAAGTGGTTTCTATAAAAATCTAAGGGATTATATACTTAAATGTGTCTGTTATTATCTCAAACAATTTTCTTTTTGCAAATTTTCCCATTTATTAAATTGTGAAATTGTGGGATAAAAAGTCTTTTTAGTCACGACAACTTAAAAATATTTCTGTTCTTATCAAAACAAATCATAAAAAAATATTCTCTTGTCATAAAACTAAATTTTTATGAAAGATTCTGTTATTGTAGATTAAAGTTTTAGATTTTGAAATTAAATCCAGATTTATGAATGTCGAAACAACATTGTGGAGACAGATTTTTGGAAACCCTTTTTGACAAAAACATCAAAGTTCATTTCTCCAAAACTTAGCTCTACCATGAACTAATTTTTAAGTGCAGTAAAAATATTCAGAGGGATTACAAAACAGTGTTTTATTTCATAACTGATAAGTAAAATACTCATGTAATAGTCAATTGATGTTAAAAGGGTCAGTGGAGATTTAAGATTTTCCAACTTCGAAGCCACTAGCAACATACTAATAATATGCCGCTTTTAACAGCCGAAGTTACTCAGATGAGCTGGTAGTCTTCAATCTGAAGCTTTGTTGGCTCCCATCCACCACCTGTGAAAGAACCTCAGCCCTTTACAGTGACAGCATATTGCCTTAACTACTATGCCGACATAGTTCAATAATTAAACTTCACTGTAAATAATTACACCACTAGATAATGATCGTTAATTGGTAAAAAGCCTTCAGTCACTGATCATAAAAATTAATGCATGTCTGTAAAACTATCATGACCATAATATCACAGGTCTGTACGTGAAATTTTTCTCGTAAAATATATAGCCTATGACCGTCATGTAACGTTATTCTTGTGAAAGCTATCCTGAGTTTAGACCCTGACACTGTTTGAGACTTAAGCGATTTGTTTCTCGAAACCTGTCAAACCGTGAAATGAGGCAAGATAGTGTAATGTCGTCATCTGCTGACGAGTGGGAGATGGCATAATTGCATCTCATGATTTGTTTACCGAGATTAGCAATGTAAAGGAAGTGCGAAGGAGGCGTTGTTTGACGTCCGCTGTGTTTGAACACTGGACTTATGTGTCCGTTGATTTATGCATTAACCACCTTAGAAAATGGATTATAGTACACCCCAGATTGAGTTATGAAGCTTTTCATATTAACCGTATAAATTAATGGTTAACACTAATTTTGCTGAAATTCGTACCAACTATGAGTTTTTTTTTTATTACAGAAGGGAACTTGTTGTATAAATAAACGGTAAATTCTCCTGATTCTGCTGAAATTATTCATAAATACGGGGGCTGAACGTTTTTCTGAAAGAAGGGAGCTAACCGTATAATTTAATGACTATCTCTCCGAATTTTTCACAAATTTCTTAAAATATAATCGTAATATAATAGTAATATGAAAAATGAAGTAATTCTATTTGAAATCTTTTCCATTGGCTTTAGCAAGATGTATTTATTTGGGGGAAAATTGTTCAGATTTAGTAAGAAATATATTGTTAAGATTCTTCGACATATTAAACTTTAAAACTTTTAAAAACACATTCTTTGGTTTAATAAAATTTCTTAGTAAAAATGTCACTTCATAGTGTAAAACTGAAAAATGATTATCTTTCTTTTAAATTATTCTGTTATGAGGCAATGTTGGAAGACAATGGCTTTTTTCAAATTATATATTCTTTTACTTTTCACGGAAAATATCTTCTACATCATTAACATTCATTAAATTTCTCACACCTCTAACATAAAAAAAATAATAGATTGATATATTATTGCGCATATCTTTCAGCAGGACGAGAAATATATTATCAATAAAAAATATGCTAAATCAATTTCGAAAAGAAAAGAAAAGATTATTTAAGTTGATGTGAACTTAAGAATGTATTCTTATGCAACTAACTGTTAAGATTAAGACTTCGAAAGATGCGGAGCTTTCAAGTAATGTTTTTAATATCCAATTTGCTTTCTATAATTTATGTATGATTCTTATAAGAAATATTTCAAGGATGTTTAAATTAAATTTTATAGCTTTAGTAATTACTGCTTTAATAGTTTAAAAATTACTCGTTAATAGTTTAAAAATTACTCATTTAAAAGCAGATTAATCGGCCATATTTTATTTTCCAATGTTTTATTTTCAGAAAGGTGCTGAAATTCTGCCAAATCAAAAAATGCAACTAAATATGTTGTATTCTTTGGGCAAAAGCCAGCATGCAGAAAAGAAATTTTAATGATCAAAATACGTTTGTTAATAAGAAGATAAAAGGTTGTTAATGAAAATTTTGAGTATTTCTTGCAAGAAAGTAATTTCAAATATGACATATAAATCGTTTCATTTTTGCATTTATTTTACCATTAATGTATAAAATAATATCATTCTGTTAAATGCTCAGTCATATTATAAAAACTAAATGTTTCTGAGTAAGTATGAAATAAAATATTATTATACACTTTGCCGTATCATTATATGGAAAACCAGTAGGTATTTTATTAGTCGTTCTAAACCCTGTGTGAAATATTTACCATTACATACTTTGCTTGCTCAACATTAAGTCATTCTAAGGAATGCCTTGGCAATGTGCGAAATATTTATAATTTCATACTTTTTTTATGATTGATCTTTCTTTAGAAGGCCTAGAGAATTTGGGAAAAATTAAATGTTTCATTTTTGCCAGTATGCCATTAGTCATTCTGTAGATTGCTTGGTTTAGGTGTGAAATATAAATAATTCAATACTTTGCTGGTTTGTTTTTAATCATTCCTTAGAATGCTTAGACAAAGTGTAAAATATTAAACATTTAATACTTAAACAGTTTGTCATTAGTTATTCTGTAGAATTTATTGGCAGGTCATGAAATATAAATCATGAATGAAATATAAATGATGCATGGAATATAAATCATTTGCTGGATAATTTTGGCTTTCTGCATAATACCAGCTTTTATACAAAGTCGATAACATATACAAATATTATTTCCTTCTATACTAACAAAAATCATAAGTTCAGCCGCCGACGCCGATGTGGGTGTTTAATGTTAACGTTATTTTTTATTTTGCTGCGCAAAGGGTAAGTGACTTAGAAACTTCAAATTATTAATGAAAATTGTTTTTACCATGTAAAAAATGTACACGATATACAGTGATGTAGGAAAATTCAACATTCTGCAATTAATTCGAGAATTAACAGCTATTAAACGTGTCTGAAACAAAATCACCTACGTGTCGTTGTACAGACAGCAGAGATGTAACTGCAAAGTTGAAATTTGACATGCTGAACGGGCCTTGTTTGTTTGTGAACTTAAGTTTGTTCGAACGTAGGTGAAATTTAAGAGCTCTTTTAGTGAATTTTTTTCACTTTTTTTTTTACTTTTAATAGTCATATATCCATTGTTATCGAAAGATTTATCTCTCTCGAGACTATCATTTTATTAGTTCTCGCTTGACTTTAAGTCAAAAGTATCAAACAAAAAAGGATAAATAGAATAAAAGAAAGAAGAGAAAGTGATCAGATGTTGTCATATAAGAAAAATACTTTAAAAATATAAATGTTTTAAGAGAGATTAAAAACCGTTCTATATTTGAGTAAGGTCATAGAATATAAGATTGTAGTTATAGATTGATAACAAGTAAAATTACTTCTCATCTATTACTTCTTATTGTGTCACACATTTTATATTCCTAAGTTCAAATTTTTTTTCAGATACAGTTAATTATTTCTCAAATTCAAATAATCGTTCAGTTGTAGTTTTCCTCTCCATATATACGCAACTGCGGGTTGGTTCCATCTATAAGTCTTCCACGAAAGCAAATTTCTTCCAAGAGTTCCCTTATTTTCTGGATTATGTTCAAAATTACAAAGCTACGGAATTGAAAATTGATAGTCGTAAACTCAGAATTGGATCGGCTGTTCAACGCAATCAATAAAATATTTTTAGGGAATTCGAGATGGCTTAAGACGTAGGGGGATTTGGTACTCATTCCCAATGATGTGACCAGGCTTTAATACGTTGATGTGATCTTTTCGTGCACTGTTTCTGTTTTTACAGACCACACTTTTGATGAAAAATTGGCCCCGTGATAAACGGATTCTATATTAGAGTCAACTTGCCGGTTAACAATGGAAAGTTTTCCACTTCCTACAATACAAATGCGGATCAAAAAGCTCAATTAAAAAATCCTCCACGCAAGCGAGTTCACTCGAATATTTGTCCCGTTATATTTCTTGTCTTTTGGGTTGAAATATAACTTATGAGGCCAGGGAATTGAACATTAATAAATGCAAAACGTTTTGTTCAATTTTTTTTAATAGTTTCTCTTTTAAAGTTTAAATTATTCATTCACAGCGACAGAATAAAATTCAAAATGAAAAATCTATAAATATCAATTAGATTAGGGGGTATATATAACATGTTAACATATGTTACCTGAGCTAAATGTCATAAGTTTATTAATGTGATTGAATTATTCCTCTTGAATACAGTGTGATTCAACGTTGAAAAAATGCTAGTTTGTCCCCCTGAGCAATTTTCCAGTTTTTATTCTTCTTTAAACTGCATTAAATAAACAAGGCTTTCTCTCCGGAAAAAAAATGTGCCATGATAAATTTCTTTGATCTTCTTTGATCTCGTGAAAATTATTTAAGTTAACATTCATAAATATGTTGATAGTAAAATAGTCCCTTGGATGAATGTGGCGACAATCATTTCATCAAAAAATGTCGCAAAACTAATTTCCAACGTTAGAAGTGCTTTTGAGCCTATGTTTGATTGCGTTATTAAAAAACACAAAAAACTATTAAATCTGTAGTTTTAAAATAAATCATTTATAAGTTCATATATACTCTTGATTTATACATTTAAAATATATATCATATCATATCATATATATATATATATCAATTATTCAAGAACTATTCGACCGATTTTGNTATATATATATATATATCAATGAAGATAAAACAAAGAAAAATTATAGACATATGAAAAAAGGGGAGAAATAATAAGTATAAAAATAACAAACAACAGTTTAAGAAAATTTTATTTAAAAAAAAAAACGGAAAAAAAAAAGATTTTGCGAATATAATCGTGTGGGCTGATGAAAAGATTTTTTTTCCGGTTTTTTTTTAAATAAAATTTAATCTTCTTTTCTCTTTTTTTTAACCGTTGTTTGTTATTTTTCCACTTATAATTCCCCCTCCCCCCCACTTTTTCTTATGTCTATAATTTTTCTTCGTTTTATATTCATTTTGAACTTATATATATATATATATTTTGAAAAAATCACGAAATTCTCTTTCTCTCTATCTTTTAAATAGGCGTTCTTCTTTATTTCTACCAAATTTTAAGTATTTTATATCCTAATGCCAGAAATTTTCTTTTTAAATTATTTAATCAATTAAATTCTCTTTTTAATTATCTACAAAATTATTTAATTAGTTTGAAAAAAAATGGATGTGTAAATATAATTTATTTGTTTTTACAGGTCAAAACTCTATTGATTTTGATTCTCTGGGCTTTTTGTTATATTAATGTGTTTTGCCGTCCAACTGAAAACTGTAACTGTTCAAATAAAATATCAAATATTAATTCTAATGAGGATGTATGCCAATGTGGAGGTTTATCTAGTAACAGTAATCAAACGGATGATAGCAGTGAAAGTGGTCGATATGAACTTGATGGAAGTATAAATAAACTGGATGATGAAAAGGATAACAATGAAGACATAAAGGAGGGCGATAAGGTAGATGATCTTAAAGATAATGAAACAGGAGATTCAAAAAATGATGACGAGAAGATCAACTCTAATGACTCAGGCGAAAGAATTAAAAAGGATATAAGTGATGATAACGAAAGAAGCCAAGAGGATAAAAGTGACGATAATGAAAGTAGTCAAGAGGATAAAAGTGAAGATAATGAAAGTAGTCAAGAGGATAAAAGTGATGATAACGAAAGTAGTCAAGAGCTTAAAAGTGATGAAGACGAAAATAATGAAGAGGATAAAAGTGATGATAATGAAAGTAGTCAAGAGGATAAAAGTGACGATAATGAAAGTAGTCAAGAGGATAAAAGTGATGATAACGAAAGTAGTCAAGAGGAAAAAAGTGATGATGACGAAAGTAGTCAAGAGGAAAAAAGTGATGATAACGAAAATAATGAAGAGGATAAAAGTGATGATAATGAAAGTAGTCAAGAGGAAAAAAGTGATGATAACGAAAGTAGTCAAGAGGAAAAAAGTTATACTAACGACAGCAGCCAAGAGCATAAAAATAATGGTGACAAAAGTAGTCAAGAGAATAAAAAGGAAATGAAAGTGAGGAGAGAAAAGTTTTACTTATATATCCACCAAAAGAAAATAATTGCTTAGTTATAATCGATATACGTAATCTTGTTATTTATTCGTTTTAATACTATAAAAAAAATTTATTTTATTTAGAGTTATACTAAAAGTAATACATCAATTTATTATTCAGCATTGATCTATCATTTTATATCAGAAAGAGTAGATTGAGAGAGACGAAGTATATGATTTTAATAAACAAAAGCGCTATTTTGAAAAAATAGATTTTTTTTCATTACTCTTACATAACGTAGGGGAGAGTCGGGTAGCCCCGCCCACCCGCCACTATTGCTTTCCCATCTCATTAAATAATGCAAAAAGAATGAACCAAAAAAAGAATAGTTTAACTTAACAAAATAGAAATTTAAAAAAACATGTTTTTCAGCTCTTTTCAAAATGTGTTGGGTAGCCCCGTCCAGTTACAAAAATTTTGTTTTTTGACTATTTTTTCAGGTGTAAATGAAAGTGACCAATGTATTGACAATAGATAAACCTCATTTATCATTTTTATCACAAAATTATTTTATTTATTGCATATTTATATACTCTTACTTTTTGTAAATTTGTAATTACTCGAACAATTTTTCACATATAAACTTCTTTCTTCGTGCAAATTAAACTTAAGACTACATACTTTAATGCTGTATGTATAGAAAAAAAAAATTTTAGTATTAAAATGAAGTTTAATCGAAGCATTCAACAAATTTTTCTTAATCTCATGACTACTGTATTCAACATATTTTAAAACTATTGTTTACCATGTTAGCAGCTGCATAAATACTTGAAACTTTGAAAATAATCTTTTTTCAATATAACAATTAATGTCCGATGGCCCATTGACTTGAAAAAATATTCTATACATATGAAATTGACTGTGGGTGGGGATACCCGCTGGGCGGGGCTACCCGACTCTCCCCTAACTTAAATTATTGAAATAAACATATTATTTTCTAATATTGATGTTTCCTAAACCTTTTAAATGCTTAAATAATAAATATTCTTAATTTAAGTTTGCATCAAGATATTCAAAATGTTATCTGCGAATAACAAGAATCAATAAGGAGTATGTGAAAAAATATTATACTAATTAAATAACGTTTTATGTGCAAAAAGTATTATTTAATTTCAAACTACTAAACTTTCGCAAATACATTTTCTTGAATAAAATTTTAAATTACTCAAAGCGATAATTCAAATTCTGAGAAATGTACCATTTTGTAATTAATATTATTAATATTATTTCTGCATGTATTTAATATACAAATAGCTTTAATATTATTACTCTATGTAATTAATATAAAGATAGCAATAATATTGTTTCTGTATGTAATTAATATAAAGATAGCATTAATATTATTACTGTATGTTATTAATATAAAGATAAAATACGGACTACTACGCAGAATATTTTTAAAATCTACTAAAGTTATTGTCGATTCTAAAAAAATTTTCTTATAATTGTATAACACACGATTTCTACAATATATTCGAAATCTGAATAATAAGTTTATTTATGATTTAGATGATTAAAATAACATATTTAAACAGAAACTATATTTTAGAATCGCATCCTATATTTCCAAAACATTAGATGGATCTACTTATTTTCTTATTATTTCCTCTCCTATTAATGTTTTATGAAATAAACTATTTTAAATATTGAGCAATATTATTTTAATTTGTCCCTTGCAGTATGCACAACAAATATATACATGACAAATTTAGAGAAGCAAATGTGATTCAGATAATTAAATTTCGGCATATGGCTTGGTCAAACAATGGCCATGACTAAAATAGTCAATGAGTTTTAAAGTTATCCGCTTTTTAAAATCAAGTCTTTAAGAACAAAATCATTACAATATCAAAACATGGTAAAATCATCTTTCTGCTAAAAACATTGTCACCGTTTTATAAAATTAAAGTCAATCTTGTAAGGAGCATATGTTTGAAAAAACAGGAAAAAAGAATTTTTCTTATTTTAATCATTTTCTTTTTTTTTTCTTGTCAACAGAAAAATAAGTAGCAGACAGATAATAAATTCCTGTTTGGCACCATGAACAAAATAAACCCATCTACAAGTACGGAGTATACGACTTTTTACAATGCAAAAGATTTCGGATCAAATTATGATATAAAGTACCGGTACTATGGGTGCATCATCGGTAAAATTCCTTTTGCCGTGAAATTTTTATCATAAAATATTATGCCGTAATTTTTACAGTAAATATTTATTTAATCACAATGATTTAGTGACTACTACTGTAAATATTACGATATTCCAGGTATTTTGTTCCTTAACATGCTCCTGTAAAATGAACTTTTTGTACTGGTACTTTTTGCCATAATTTAATCTGAAATAGAATTTTTTACAGTATGCTAGTAGAAATAAAAAAGAGTTATAAAACCACCCTACGCTAGATGCAATTTATCACTTTTAAAAATTAAAGAATATGTAAAAGTAACTTATGTCGAAAAATTAATTCCACTGAGTTTAATACCGAGTTGGGCAAAAATGTAATAGATTGCATTTCTCGATTATAGTAATTAATTACTTGCAATCATGATTACAATACATCATATTGTGATTACAGATGTAATATTGATTACAGCAATCAATTACAGAAATCAATTACTTGAAATCATGATTACAGTTTTGATTACAACTGTAATCGAGATTATAACTTTAGTTACAACTATAATATTGATTACAACTTTATTACAACTGTAATCATGATTAGAACTTTGATTGCAACAATAATCGTGACTACAATTTTATTACAAACTTAATCATGATTACAATAGTCGATTCCAATATTCAATTACTTTTAATCGTGATTAAAGCTCATCATCATTTTCAATACAATTGTCATCTGGATTACACTAATTGATAATAGTAATTAATTAGTTGTAATCTTAATTAAAATTCACCATAATTTTGGATGCAAAAATAATCGTGATTTCAAGTAATCATGATTACTTGTAATCACATCACGAAACGATTAGGGCTAATTATGACTACGAGTTATCAATTACAAGTTTTTTCTGTAGTTTGAACTGGAATTTTTTAGATGTAAGGAAAGTTGAAGGATCAGATTTTTAAAAAAAATCGAAACGAAGAATTTAAATGAAAACTGCTTGTGAACTAAGAAAGTTATTGAATGTTCTATCATTATTCAATACTCATTCATCTATCTTCACAGTTAAGAAAGAATGAAGCAGTTGCAATTTTATAGAGTTGAAAAATAATTCAAATGTAAATAAATTAACGATCAAAAGACTTAGGTATTTAATAAGATAAACCATTGGTTAATTTTTCATCAAAATAAATAAAAAGTGCAATCGTTTTACCGACGAACAAAATTTGAACTAGTTTCTACTGACGATTCAAAATTCGGTTAATTTAAAAACATATTTCAACTTTCATTTTAAATTAAATGTGGAAATAACAACATGCCTATACGAAAAAATGTAATCTCAATAATAAATTCGAAATGTATTGAATTTATCCTCGATATTCTACGGAAAGCTCTTCAAAAAAAATTTAATGATGTTGAATTTTAGTTTCAAATACTGTTAATCAAACAATTATACGACAATACTTTAAAACCCTTTTTTGAATGTTTAATTAAAATTTCACATGCAAATTAAAATAGATGAAATAAAGTATGAATGTAGCAATAGATTCAGATTTTAGTGTATTTGTAAAGTTAAACATTTCTTCTATATTTAGAAATGACAGTTTATAAAATCAGTCTACTTATTAAATCATATATCCTCAGAGCGAATATTGAAAGTGGTTGCAATATTTAAGAAGCGGGTACAGTATCTACAGATATGATAACAATAACTCGATCAAAAGGAATTACCTTCCAGAATCCTGAGGGGAAAAGGAAGAGAGGCAGGCTACGTTTTAGATAGTTAGATGATGTAGAAAAAAAGCTGACCAGTTATGGGGGAAATCGATGGAGATTAGTGAGTAGATAGATAGAGAAGGAATAAGCTGTTTCTGACAGCCAATGAGAGTAATCGGCTATAGTGCTTATAGAAGACGAAAAATAACTATTAAATAATTTTAAAAAAATCGAAGCAAAACACATAGTATTTATGTTAAATCTCGTTGTTTTTGAATTCTTTGCTTTGTATTAAATTTAATGTAAAAATACACAGACATTAAACTTAAAAGGTTTATTAACTCACATCGAAAGTAAAATTTCCGCAGAATTTAATTGATAGTTTTCTGCATGGAAAAGTTATTCCTAAAACATTTTTTTAAAGTTAGTAATACAAAAACAACTTTTAAGGTTTATTTTACTCTCTATAAGACGTAACATGCGTAACTTACGTTTTTGACTTGCATTATGTTTCGTAAAGGCCTCCCTTACAGAATCCCAGTAAAAATTAAATCTAAGAAGTCTATACGCATTAGGAGCTGCAGACTAATAAAGTGAGGAAGACGAAATATTATTGAGAATAGCAGGATTAAAAACGCCAACTTTCATTTGATTGCAAAAAGAAATTGAGAGCCGATGAAAAACAATAATTCGAAACACTTCCAAGTTTCATTAAACGATCAAACTGATTTAAGTGTTCCCATACTCCCTTCCTCTCTAAGAGGGTTTTGATATCGTTTTTAATTTTTTCTCGAATAAATATTAATAATTTGGACAAAGATTCTAGATATATATATTTAGGATGGCTAATACAGAGCATCCCGTATACGAATGAATTATCCGCCTTTTAAAATTCTGTATCAATTAAAAAAAAGATGTTGCGGTTAAAAATAATATGCTATGCATTATATTAATGCAGAATTTGCCTCTACATTACAATAGAGGACAACAGCTTTAAGGAATGTGTTTGTCATTTAAGGAATATGTTTACAGTTTAAGAAATACGTTGAATAATACAACTCAGTAATTATGTTTTTTTTTAGAAAACATAAAGCAATGACGTACCTGAATAAGATTAAATAGCTACTCGCTAAGCGGTAGAACAATGTTGTACAGATTTCTTCTCTTGCATTTCATGTACAACACAAAATAATAAATATTTCTTTCATAAGTAATGAAAAAAACCTTGTACGGATTCTCCAGAGATCAAATTTATTACAGAATGGTAATCTTCTAATGTACATCGAGGACTTGTAGCCATACTTTAAACCAAAGAAACAGATAATTTGACAGGTTGTTGAGTCAACGAAGGTTTTAAATACAAAGACATCAGGATCATATTCGCTGGTTTTCATGAAATCAAAACTTCTTTTGTTTTCAAGACTTCGGTAAAAAATATTCACAAAATGGTTTCTCATCTGGTAAGATATAATTTTGTACTTATGAATTTTTAGTTTAATTCAAGCTGGATTTAAAAACCACTTCTTCTCAAGGTGAACTAGAAATGTTTTTTAATTAAAATTTTCACTATGAACACGAGTCCAGTTATATGCACTGAAAAAGATTAAGGATCAAATTTCGGTTAAAACTATCGGCACCTTTTTACCGCAGAATCCATTTTTTGCGGAGCATGCAACAGAACAAAAATTCTTATATATCGTAATTTTTACTGTAATAATTATCGCAAAATTACAGAATCACTCTTATTAAACAAATATTACTGTTCAAATTGTGGTTTAATATTTTACAGTAAAAGCAGATTTTTTGATAAAATGGATTTTACGAATGATGGACTCTAAGTGCCGGTCCTTTTTAGTGCTCATTCTTTATGCTATTTATTGTTTGCTTGCGGTAAATCTTGGCTATTACTTGTTAACCGCAATCAGAAGTATCAATTTCGATGCCTAAAGATACTGAATATACTTTATTTTGATGAGTTAATTTTCTTTTTTAATCTTATAATACAAAATACTTGGGAAAAAACAAATATTAACAATAAAAAACTAAATTATTTTATTTCATTTTCAAATGTTTCATGCTATGCTTCCTTTCAGTTTTGATCATGCACTGTCAAAGAAATTGCGGATCAAATTACGGTAAAAAAGTACAAGCACTCAAGGTGCAGGCACTTTTTTATCGTAAAATCCTTCTTTACAGGAACATGTTACGAAACAAAAAATCTAATAAATTGTAATTTTTACAGTAATTAAACAAATATTGCTGTACAAATTATGGTATAATATTTTACGGTAAAAATGTATTTTATACTAAAATGGATTTTACGAATTGTGGTCTCAAAATGCCGGTACTTTATACTGTAATCTGATCCAGAATTCTTTACAGTTCACTAAAGTGCACATTCTTTAGGAGAAGTGGTTCTTATGAGGTAAATCTTGTCTATTACATGTTAACTGCAATCAAAAGTATCAATTTCAATGCTTAAAAATACTGGATATATTTTATTTTGAAAAGTTAATTTTCTTTCTTAATCTTATAATCCAAAATACTTGGGAAAAGCAGCCATTAACAATAAAAAGAAACTGAAGAACAATTTTATTTCATTTTCAAATGTTTCATTTTATGCTTCTCTTCAGTTTTGGTCATGCATTTCAGATCAAATTACGATAAAAATTACAAGCTCTCATGGTCCGGGTACTTTTTATCGTAAGACAGGAACACGTTACGAAACGAAAGATCTAATGTATTATAATTTTTAAAGTAATAATTACGGTAATATCACTGAATCACTCTAATTAAATACATATTAGTGTAAAAACTACAGTATAATATCTTTATGCAGAAATTAATTTTACAGATGATGCAACTAAAGTGCCAAAACTTTGAACCGTAATTTAAACTTTAAGTTTACAGTCTGATTGCCTAATATTGTATAATATAGATTTGTTTATTATTTATGTTTTTTCATATTTTGTATGATTTTTCTACTCCTATAGTAATAATTATTATTGACGAAATTTCGTAATTATTTTTTCTAGATTGTCCACCCTTAACAAACTTAAAATGTTTTTTCTTAATTCAAATTTTAAATGCATGATAAATAAGCTAACAATAAATTTTAAAATAATATTCATTCTTTGCAAAATATACATCAAAAGAACATCAAATATAATTATTGTGCAATAATTAATTAGAAATAATTTCTCTAGTAAAACCATTGCAATTTTAAATCCAACTTCAATTTAAGAATAAAAATATTTTTTAATACTTTATGTGAGTTAAAATCTTATAAGATGCTTTCTAATATCAAAATGAACAGGGAGAAGAAATTCCGATAAAATTACCATACTATATAGTAAAAAAAATTATGGTAAAAAACAGCATAAATCTGGTAGTAAAACCAAAATATATTGTATTTTACCATTCATTTTGGCAATTTTTACACTCATATGCTAACGGTTTATCGAAAATCATGGTTTTCAGAATTTTAGTTCTAATTGTAATTCATTCGAATAATTGGTTTTTATGCCATGCTCTAAGCTATCATGATAAAATTACCAAATTTTACCACGTTTACCAAATTTCAATACATATTATAAAACGATATTTATATGTTATTTTTACCGAATTCATTAAAGTGTTTCGGAAAAATTGCCAAGTTTTTTGATGTTCCCATAGAGTCAGAAACACGGTAAATTTTACCATATTTCGAAAGTTTTGGAATACTTTTTTTCTCAGTGAAGAAACACTAATCAGTTATAGCTATATTCTATAATTTTCAAACTTAAAATTATTCTTGTAAATTGGAGAGCAAGTTGCTATTTTCGATTTAAGAGTTTATACTATAATGAAATTGATTCATTTCAATTAAGTAAACAGAATGTAAATTAAATTGATATCGACGGGTGAAAGGCTAACCTAAGTCAACTAACAACTCCTGAAACTTTCGTTTCATTTGCTTATGGCTAGTATAAAATGTAAGGAACTCAGTGTAAGGAATTCCAACCTGAGCTACTTCGTTGAAAAACGAGTGCTCTATTTCCTAAATCACTGCGGTTCACGAGTTCTATTATGAAGAAATTGTAATCGAGAGAATTTCACTACAACATTATATCAATTTGACAATAATGTCAAAACGCAAATTTATTTATACGATATTCAAAACCATAAAGTAATTGCTAAAAAGTAAGAGCAAGTATGGAAAAGAATTGCAAAATGATTCGATAAAACGGAAAAGTTATATTTCAGTTCACAAAAATGCATGGCAGAAACAAAGAATTTCAACTGATAGCTTTAATCCCTTTGTAATTGGGATGGAAAACGGCTAAAAACCATTTTTCAACAAAGGGGATTTTAACCATTAAATATACTGAGAAATTTCGAAAAATTAAAAGTTATATTTTACAGTGTAGGATTTTTAAAGAAAAGTTAATTTAAGGGGAAATTACAATGCAAAGAATATACAAGACAAATATATGGTGGAACATTCTATTTTCTGACAAAAAGACATCCAAAGCATAAAACTGAAACTTAAGAAATCAAAACAGCATACTATCGCATTACATTGACTGCTTGTCTGGAAGATCACTGATTTTATTGTGGTTGGAGTCAAATTTTACTGGTCTTGGACCAACAGACCATCGTTAATTTCAAGCCCATATTAAAAGAACTGATATATAAAGTTATTCATCCTGTAACAATAAAGAAACACTAAAAGTTATTGATAATATAACAATAATTCTAAAATTATTTTATTAGTCTTTCTTTTAACACTTTAATAAGTAAACTACTCACAATAGCAGTTTAATAGCATCATTATTAAACGCCATCAATAGGTTTTTACCAGATAAGCTACTTATTTTATAAAAATAGAAAATATTTATGCAGATGGAAGTAAGAAGTATGATCGAAACTACCAGAATATGGTAAAATTTACCATGTTTCTGACTCCATGGGAAAACTAAAATGGCTCGGTAATTTTCAACGAAGCCCTTTGTTTTTTTTTAAAATTAACAATAAAATCTATGGTTTCTTAATGTGTTTTAAAATTTCGTAAATGTGGTAAAATTTGATAATTTTATCATGATACCTTAGCATGGTATCATGATAATCAATGTATCATGGTATCATGATATAGCGAAAAATCATTTATTCGATTAAGTTTAATTTAAAGTTTCGAATTTTTAGCAAATATTTAAAGTACGTAAATAAAACTATAATCTTGAAAACCAGAATTTCCGGTAAAATTGTTATTATATGAACGGAAAAATTACCAAATGAATGGTTTAAATACCGTATATTTTTGTTTTACTTTGAAAATCACGCTGTTTTTTCCATCAGAAATGTCTTTACCATTCAGTGCGGTAATTTCAACAAATATTTTTTTTCTCCGTGCTGTAATAAGAAAAAAATAAAAACTTTTGATAGTTTAAATGATGCAACGATTAAAACGCTTATTGGTGTATAAGTAACATAATTATTAACGCAACTATTTATATATTATGAAGAGTTTATTTCAAACACATCTACTAATATTTATTAATGTGGGAGTATTATGAGGAGTCTAATTAATAACATGACATTATTTATTTTAAACTTTTGAAAATTTAAATGATACAACGATTAAAACGTTTATTGGTGTATAAGTAGCATAATTATTAACGCAACTATTTATATAATTTGAAGAGTTTATTTCAAATATACCTACTAATTTATTTTAATGTAGGAGTATTACAATGAGTTTAATTAATAACATGACATTATTTTTATTAATTGGCATATTTGAGATTCAGATTCTTTGATATTATGAATTTCAGATTCTTTTTCTCAAAATGGGATATTTTATGGAAGTGAATAGTAAATATATTTATTTAACTGCTATATAACCTTTATTTCACTGAATAATGACTAATTTCATGTTTGCCAGTAACGCACTAACAGACAAACACTAGGATTTTATTCGACAATGCATTGAATTACCATACAATATGAAGTATTGTCAGGAAGGCACGACAGATTTAAACCTCATTATATCCTCTAAATCTGACAGAAAACGCAAATATTTGAATTCTTGACATAAAGAAATTCTACACGGGGCTGATTAAACAAAGACATTTTTTTTCGGTGACCATGAAAATTTACGGACTGCTTAGAAATGTTTACACTTCCTACAATGCGTTACTATTACGATTGCTCTTAAATAAAATAATAAAATTATATCTTAAGAGCTTTTCTTGATATCCAGATATTTATTTCGATATTTAAATATAAGTCTTTAAATTCAAAAAACGTTTTGACATGCAAATATATTTAAGCTTTATTTTATTAATTATAAACTCTTAGACTAGAACAAAATAAATTTTTAAACTACGCTTCCTCACAATGCTGTTTTCTGCCTCACTGTAAAAAAAAATATATGTCTGGATCAAATTACAGTATAAAGTACTGGCACTTTGGGAGCATCATACATAAAGTCCCTTTTACCGCAAAATATCATATCGTAATATTTACAGTAATATTCATTTAATTTAAGTGATTCAATAATTTTAGCATAGCTATTGCTGTAAAAATTAAGGTATATCAGATTTCTTGGTCCGTTACATATTTCGGAAATACTGGGTTTTATGGTAAAAAAGTACCGGAAGCCTTTTACCGTATTTTGATACCGACTAATTTACAGTACTGAAGAACTAGCAAAAAGAAAAACAAAAAATATCGATACATTTAACAAAAAATACAAATTTCCTTCATAGAACATATGGAACTCATCATAAAGATAATTGTTCATTAACGTATTAGAATTTTGAATCAAATATATTGTGCACTGTAAAAAATTCCAGACCAAATTCCGATAAAAGTAACGACACTTAGGGTGCAAGTACTTTTAACAGTAAAATCTATTTTTACCGTAACTTTTTGTGGAGCAAAAACTCTGATGTACCATAATTACCGCAATCTGTAATAGAGTAAATCACTGTTATTAAATAAATTTACAATTTTTACAGTAATATTAACTGCAAAAATTACGGTGTAAAATTTTAAGGTAAAATTGGATTTTTTAAAAGTTCTTATATTTAATTTCTAGATTATTTCTACTTCATAAAGGACCATATGCAGTTGGAAATTCTGGTATATATTGAGCCATGATATAGTTTAAGTTCGATTAAATTAATCCCCTTCCTCCAATGTTAAACAATGTCATTGCGCATCTGAAACGTAATTACACGATGTTATGGATCAATATAAGCAGAAACATGATACATTTCAATACCTTATAAAGTGAATTTGCGTAATTTTACAGCATAATTTAGGAAGCATAACCTATTATGGCTCAAATTACCGATATTTTATTTCATATTTCATAACCATCAATGAGTAGCCGACCAAAATTGGAGTTTAGGGCTACCAATGATCAATTCCGCAGCTTTCTAATTTTGAACCCAGAAGACAAGGGAACTCTTGGATCAGTACCCCCAGAGGTGTTGGTTTGTTACGGGGACTTGGAGGACTTTGTGCCCCGGCAGATTTAACATGCACCAGTCACCACTTAATTCCCGGGGATTCTTGCGCCGGCTGGATTCCAACTCCTGCTCTCTGGAACATGAGTCCAATACCCTACTAACCGGGCTACCCCGACAGCAAAATTACCGATATTACAGTTCAAAAACTTCCTGACTTTCTGAGTATGTATCGAATGAATAACAAAAACAACTTCACTATTATCACTATACGCGCAGAAGTAAATATTTTTCACACACTAAACTTGATTACAATTCACACTGTATTATTTAGAGTAGAAAAATTGGAATAGAGTAAAATGGATCTGCTTGATTTAACAACCAAAAGAAATTTTTTTTTATTTGTTTAATAAATAAAATTTAACCACAAGATTTAAAAGGTAATTTTCTGTCATGTTGGTATGTTTAAATTATTTCTGTTAATTATTATTTCTGTTAATTAGTTATGGGCACAATTTTACTTTTTTTTTCTCTTTTTTTGTTTTTTTTTATTTTGTTTTTTTTTTTTTTTTTTTTTTTTTTTTCCTTTATTATTTATTTTTTTTGATGCCGTGAATGAAATTGTGCTCATAACTAATTAACAGAAATAATAATTAACAGAAATAATTTAAACATACCAACATAACATTTCTCTTTAAAAAAATCAGATTTTCTAAAATAATTATACTTGTCTATTACTAAAACTTTTTTTTTTAAAAAAAGTTAAATATCCTTAGCACTCTTAGAAATGTTCTGAAAAAATTTTTAAGATTTTTTTTTTAACAGAATAACTTTAAATAAATTTCAAAAATTTATGGCAAAGAAAGAGCTAAGACTAAAAGATTATTCTTTCAATAAATTCAGATGACAAGTTATAAAACTTCCAGTGTGCTTGATTTTATATAAAAAGAATTTCAACAGATAGCGTTGATAGTAAATAAGTAAATCAAAAATAAATCAATAAAAATCGCATCCCAATTTTTTATAAATCTTTTCTTTTATGGAGTGAAAATTATCATATTACAATAATTTCGAAATATTTACTTTCTCAGATTTATACTTTACTATCAGCAGTGCCATCTATTCATAATTTTTTGAATTAAAAACCAGAGAAAACCTGTCACCAGAGAAAACCTGTCACGTGAATTTACTGCAAAATTACATATTGATTTATTAATTTAATTTCTGCAGTTTTTCAATGAAACTTTTTGGAAACCCGTCCGTCTAATTAATTACACAGTTAGAAATTTCTCAGAAAAAAGTAACTTTAAATAACTATTTATTTAATTCTTATTTTACCATATTAAAAAAAGCTGTTTGATAACCTTTAATAAGATGGAATTATAAGATGGCATTTGATAACCTTTAATTAGATGATAACTGTAAGAAAAACCGCTTACTAACTGTTTTCGCCTAATACGGTTAAACAACTGGAATTTTACCGTATCAACTTGGCCTGATTAATGAAACCACTTAGTTCCTTGCAGGCAGTTACAGAAGTTTAATCTGAGCTGAAAGGGCAAATCTGTGAATCTCATGTTAGACGGAACGAGGGTTCGAGTCCTAGTGTTGGTGCCACAATATTTATTTCAAGAGACGCGGTGGCTCAGAGGATAGAGCGTTCACCTCTCAATAAGGTGGACCAGGTTAGAATCATAGCGATGGCTAATCGATACGAATTTTGCTCCTGCTAGCACAGACCACAGTGCTGATGCAAAATATCCTCAGTAGTAGACAGATTATGGATTAGAGTCCCCTTGCGGTCAGGATAACCATAGTAGGTTTTCGTAGTTTTCCTCTCCATGTAATGCGGATTAGTTCTATCAAAAAGCCCTCCACTAAGGCAAAATTTCTCCTGGACTTGATCCTTGAGTCCCCTTCTCTTCTGGATAGGGTGCAAAATTATATGGATACGAGAGTCGAAAATTGGTATTCATAAACTCAAAATTGGGTCGGCTGTTAAACGGCGATTATAAAATATTTCTTTCAGTTCCAGGGCCCTGCCCTGCCCTCCCCTATTTGTGACCCCGGACTGTTAGGTTAAGACACTCTCACCCACGCATGAATGGTAGCGCCATAAAGCTTCTTTATATCCTAACCTCAAGAAAAACCTAGCTCCTATGTCCAATTAAATTTATTCTTATGGTTTTGATTGTTGTTGTTGTAAATGGTTAAAAATTCGTATAGCTTTGTATGTATGGTTTTTTAACCATTCTAGTTATAAACGGCCTTAAAACCATAAAAGTAAAAAATGTTCTTTTCCGTATACGTTAAGGTTGATTGGATGAGCAAACTATATGCCCCTGGTTATTTTACCATAATTTTAGAATGAAATTCCTAACAGTGTTTATTTTTCTTCTCAACTTCGATTACTTTTTTTTAGTTACTTCTATTGATGGTACTTGCATCATTAGCAACTACTTCAATAACTCTGATGACAGACAGTAACGGTGAACCTGACTTTTATTTATGCCGCAACATTGGAAGTGATGGTGCTTACAAAATCAACAATGCTTTGGAAAATCCGAACTTCGCTGAAGATACCATAGCTCTGAATGATTTGAAGAGAGAATTCAATAGCGACTCTGCTTTAATGAAATTCTTGAACTATATATGCGGACGTAAAGTTGCTGACAACCGACCAAGATGGGCAAGTGTAATAAGATGGAAGAGGGATGTTAAAAATGCAAATGAAACACAAAGTTCCTAATGGATAAAATGAACAACCACGTAATAATTAAAAATATTGTGGATCTTTAAGTAAATAAAAAGTTAACTACATAAAGTTTCTAAGTGAATACATGAAAATAAAAATCTCTATCAAATACATCGTTGGAAATTTCTCAGTAAAAATTGCTAGCTAGCAATTTATTTAAATGTTATTTTACCATATTAAGTCAAAACATTCGAATAATAATTTAAAAAAGATGAAATTCGAACTCTCAAGTGTGAGAAAAACTTTATTGATTTTTTTTTATACCTAATACGGTTTAACAACCAAAATTCTATCCGCATCAACTAGGCCCTCTTTTGTCATTTAATTTGTAATCTTTTGTCTTAAGTCATTTTGTTCCGTGCAGCTGGGAACATACTGTAATCGAGAGTACTAATCAGTCAACCTTCTTGCCGGTTAAATAGGAGTTCGAATGGCAGCGTTGATGCCACAATATTTCATCCGTTCCTTTAATACATGAAGAGTTTCCACTATCCTGCACTCTACTATCGGTGACCCTAAACTGTTAGAATACGAAACTATCCTTCACGCATAAATGGCGCAGCACCCAGAGAGTTCCAATATTTCCCTAAAGTTTTATGGTTTAGAAACTGTGCTAAAGGTAAATGGTTACAAAATCGTATAATCACTGTTTCTTAACCATAAAAGTTGTAAGCGGTTCCTACACCGTAAAGTTGGGAACATAAACTTTACGGTTAATCGGTTAGACAGACTACTGCTGATTATTTTAGCGTAATTTAAGAATGAAAATTCTAACAGCGTTATTAATTTAAATTACGTAAATGGATGTTCTGTATGTAAGATCTTCCAAGAATCACCTACATTCACTCACAAGAATTAGAATGAATTTTATAAAAACCCCGTGTACATTTTTCTTTTAAATTTTTTTTGAAATATTTTTTTTAATTTTCGATATTTACGGTATTATAAAATTTTCAAATTTTCAAATTTTCCCCGATTATGTCCAGAACTATGGGACAAACTTTAATAAAGTTTTGAGAATATAAACATTTTTAAAACAAATATAATGAACCATTTTACCATTTCAGATGGGACACTGGTATCCTATTGATACATTTTTTCTGATGCTCTAATTACAAGCAAATATATATTTTGGTATTATTTAATTATAAAAAACAGTATAATAGTCCCTAAAATATCTGTTACAGTTTGGAATCATATTCGTATTAAAATATAAATTCCAAACAAATTCCTTAATATTCAAAAATATATCAATAATTGATCTTGTAAATTAAAGAAATTTCAATGATAAATAACTGTTTCTCTTAGATCTTAGATCTGAAAATAAGTGCAAATTTGAAAAATTATTGTTTAGAAGTGAGCCGTGTTTGAAAGATTTTACGTCCAACGACGAAAAAGACACCGGTATTTCGTGCTGCGTTTCAAAACCATAAAAATTTAATTATTTTATTTAATACAAAATAATGAAAAAAATATAAAAAATATGTTTAATACATATTCTGCGTCAAAGGGTAGATTAAGAAAATATATGACGGCAAATATAATGACCACTCGATGCAAAATTATTCTAAAAATTTTATTTTATTACATGATATGGGAATGTTAAGGGTTTTGATTGTTAAAATTTTATTTGTATGAAGAAAGAAGGTGTGTAATTATGCCAATATAATTTCTTTTAACCTGAAAGGAAAAAATAACTAGTTTTAATATAGTTTTTAATGTTCTCTTTTTTTAACATCATCATTATGCGAATCTTTCTTAAAGCATTCTAAATGTTTTTAAGCACGCTAAAAACATTTACAGTTTCTACTAAATATAGTTTATTAACACATTTTATTTTTAATAACTAAAAGCTTTAGAAACAATTTTATAAGGTATATTTTCAAATTTTATTTATCAAGTAATTGAAATAGAAATGCAGGCATGGTTCTAGTCTAAAAACACAATGTTAACATTTACACTCTTGCTTTCTTTCAAAGTTCTAACTAGTTTTAATAGCCAGAGCCACCACCATAGCCACCTTGACTACCATATCATTTTCCTTGTCTACCATATCCCATTCCTTGTCTGCCATATCCCATTCCTTGTCTTCCATATCCACCTCCTTGTCCTCCATATCCACTTCCTTGTTTACCATATCCCATTCCTTTTCCTCCATACCCCATTCCTTGTCCGCCATATCCTCCTTGTCTACTGTTTGCACGCCTGGATCGTCCACCAAAAATATCATCTTGTTCTTCTTCGGGACCACCACGATTTCCAAATGGTGGTGGTCCAAAAAGATCTGGGGGTGGTCCTCTGGGTGATCCAGGTTTTGAATCATCAAATTCTTGGGCTTTCGATGCAAGAACAAAGCCGAGAACCCCAAACAGGAGAAATGTATGCTGTAAAAAATAAATGAATATAATTTTCAAATAAAAATAAACATTTTATAACGGAGATATGAAACCTTATCTACTATTAAATATTCAAGAAAAATGCACGAAATAAAGTTATTGTCTTTAAAATTGCAAATATTTAAGAACAATTATTGAGCTATATAACTAAATTGGTTCATGTAGCCTAATTACAAACCTGCCAATTGTCTTTTAGACAGAACGTTAAAAATGGATAAAGCAAGGCAAATAAGTTATTTCGTTTAAAATAATTAATATATTAAGGTAGTGAAAATTAAAGCTGGAATAAATCTTAAAACATAGCATTTGATACAGTGAAATACTGGGTGTTGTGTGATAACCACCCTGAAAGTAAATTTAGAAAAAACCTCATCATAAATGAAGTCCCAAATTAGTTTCTAAGCAAGGAAAAAAACGCATTAAAGTACCTTTTGTCACTACTGAGATTGTATACGGAAACAGAATAGTTGAGTGACAAATTTAAAAAATGCATTCAAGTTTTATCAGGTAATCAAACTGGTTTTCATGATTTTAAGTACATACTCAGTAATGATTTGTTAGATTTTAATATCATTTTTTTAACTTTAATTTTGATAAGAATTCTAAACACACATATTTGTATTGATCATTACAAAACTTCATACATGTAACTGATTTTTCTAAAAGTAGAACAATGAGATTTGCATTCAGGTGATTCAAATAATTAAAAAGAGTACAATAATACAAGAGTACTGTATAAATACAGTACTCTTGTATTATATATATATATAACGAAGTAAATAAATACAAGAAGACACGAAGAAAGTTAAGAAAAGCAATAAGTTTCATTTATTGCGCATAAGCTGCAAGTAAACAGAACTCATTAGAAAAGTTCAAAAGGAAACAAAGGATAAGGATAAAACAAAGGAAAATTATAGACATATGAAGAAAAAAAGGGGGAGGGGAATAATAATGAAAAAAACATAACAAACGACTGATTAAAAAAAATAATAAAAAAAAGAGGATGATTTTTTTTGTAAAATATATA